AAATAAAGGAGACGTGAAATACGCAAACAGTCTAATAGGCGTGTTTATGAACACAGAACAAGAATAAACGACTATGTGTGTATCGTTAAATTAGTAACAAAAATAATGGAGAAAAATAACTTATAATTGCAGTAAGATATGACGCTAGAATAAATGTTTGTGCAGTTATAGTTTAGAGTGATGCGATGAAAGTCTCAATTGAGTGGAAAGGATAATAAAATATCAATATGTATGAGTAGTCATATATGCATAGTGAAGATAAAACGGGTCTGAGAATTTAATTTAAGTGTAACACGAGTTATTGTTTTAATTACAAACTTCGTAATCTTAAGAATAATATTTATTTAGAGGGAAAGAAGAGAGAAAAGAAGTGAACACTTAGTGAAAAGTTTTGATCCATGATAAGAATAATAATTGTGTAATGAATATCAACCCCAGAAGGAAACCAACAATTTAGAAAAATAAAATAAAAATCCTTTAATGCACCCAGATGAATACATTTAGATTTATGTAATAGTATACAGAGTGAAACCGGATATTAGTATAAATATTTGTGCAATAATAATTAAGATTGATGCTATGAAAGTCACAGTTAATTTCAAAGGACAATCAGGAATTAAATATGTTTAGAAAGATACCTTCAACATTTGGACCTGTTGATTTACCTGAGCCACTAAGTGCATAGGGAAACGACGTGCTTCCAATATACTTACTCGATTTTTCTTTATTAGGATTTCGTGCTTTACTTTGTTATAAAATACTTACGGCTCTCTATCTCCAGTGAACAATGTCAAGCACGAAATCCCCATAAAAAACAGTTGATTAAATATATTTGCAACAAGTTGCGTCCTTGTGCACTTAGAAGCTCAGGTAGATCGACAGGTCCAAATGTTATAAAAAGGCATAATTGAGAAAGCGTAGAGCTCTTACAGCTCACCGGCACTCATTGTGAAGAAACCGAATAGAAAGTATAGATTTTGTGTCGAGTTTTGGGAACTGAATAATGTAACAGAACTGAAGCCTTTTGTAATGCCAACATTAACGGAAACAATATATCGGCTACAGAATGCCGTGGTGTTTACAGTGCTGGATTTGCGGTCAGTTTATTGGTAACTGCCTATAGGAGAGCGGCCAAAACAACAGTATCAATTCAGACGAATGCATTTTGGGTTGGCGGGTACAACGTTTGGTTCCAGAAGACTAATTACGCGGTTGATCAGGGATCTAGATAAAGTAGAGATGTATGATGAAGATGTAGTATGTACAACCATACAGAAACAGATCGCGTGAAGCATGTGGAAGCAGTCTTATGGCAAACTAAAGAATTTTGACTTCGAATTATTAGAGAAAATCCCAGATAGTGAAAAATACCGTCACGTTATTGGGGCATAAAGTGGAAAATGAAAAAATAAAACGACTGGAGGAGAAAATTTCGACCATAAAGACCATTGCAATACCTAATTCAAGAAAGTTGAGGCAATTCCAGGGAAGGGAGGCGTTCTACAGTCAGTTCGTCAAGAACTTCAACGAAATAGCAGCACTTCCATATAAGTTGTTGAGCAACATTAAGTTTACGTGGACTGATATTTCTCAAAAAACCTTCAACCAAATCAAAAACATGCTAGACGACCGCTAAAGGACGCTCAAACTGCCTAGACCCGGGAATCCATTTACAGATACAAGTGATCATGGTACAGGTGCCGTCTTGAGTCAGTCTGTCAAAGTGGTAGAATGGTGGAGTCGCGTTCTCACATCCGCTGAACAGAAGCGTTCAACGATTGAAAAGGAGCGTTTAACAACTGTGTAGGCACTAGAAAAATGGAGACCGTAGCTTTTATTTAAAGGTTTCCATATCGAGACTGACTACATACCCCTGCAGTAGCTGAAAACAGCAAGAGACACCATGGGAAGTTTGCGCGATGGATGATACGTCTGCAGGAGTACGATTTCAGTATCGGTCATGATCCAGGAAAGGAAAACGTAATAGTGGACTACTTTCCAAGACCAGGCACGGAAGCCGAGCTTCCACCGGCAGAATATGCAGTGAATAGTATAGAGGGAGACCCACTAGAAATTGTCCGGCAGCAGGAAGCTGACCCTAAACTTCGAGAGGTAATTGGAATGAACGCATAAGGAGCCCTGATCTGGCAGGACGATGACGAAAATTGGGTGGCTGTGATCCTGAAGGACTGGCAGCGTAAGATGATACATGAATGTCACAGATATCTGAAGAACGACTGACTTACTATGACAAAGTGCATACTGGCCAGGCATGAGAGACGATGTGGTCCAATACGTGTTAACTTGACAGGAGTGTCAACTAATAAAAATAAATCGATACACACAACCGCCATTACAGTCAGTACCGGTAACCGTAGTCGGTTATCTTTGGTCGGTGGATGTGATGTGATCGCTTCCACAGACGGCGAGCGGTAACCAGTACCTGCTAGTGATGACGGAACATGCTACACGTTGGGTAGACGCTGTAATCATTGCAGACCATCGGGTAAAAACAGTGACCGAAGTAGTAATCCGGCATACTGTAGCGTGTCACGGAATACAGATGATATTAGCTGACTAGGGTCCCTGTTTTGAAAGTGACGAGTTTAGAGCCTGTCTAAAGCAGTTTGGCATCAAGAGGATACAAAGTACACCGTATCACCCCCAGACGAACGGGCTTACAGAAAGGAACAACCGGACGTTAAAGGAACGGCTGACGTCTAAAGGAGGAAATTGTGAGGAAGAGTTACAATTGATTTTGCTGGCACATCGTGCCTTCATATAAGAAACAAACAAGATGTCACCTTTCCTGCTCATATATATACTAGACAACCATGACTTCCAATGTATAAAACGACCTTACCAAAACAACAGAAGTGGATGGCAACACGGCTAAGAAAAGACATGAGGGAGGCAACAAGGAGGGTGGAGAAGAAAATAATCAGATACAAAATAGGCGGAACATCATAGAAGAATATGGAAGCTTTTCGCAGTGAGGGACCTTGTAGAGCGTACAGAACGGTAAGTTTACATGTCACGGAAACCAGAGTCAAGAAAGCAGATCCAGAAGTGGGAAGGACAGTATATTATCATGGTGAGGAGTGGCATGGTATATACGATCCAGAGAAAAAACAAGCAGTAGCGCGTAGATGCCAGTTAATTGAAAAAAATTAGTTCGAGTCGCGAACAGCACCAAAAAAGACGGAGGTACACTGATCGGAAAGACTTGAAAAATAGCTTAGTAAAAACGAGGATGAGTGGGGTGTTTGCTATTTGTCGCCATAAGTAGTATATTACGCTAGTCGACTGTCCCTACTTGTGATCTCGTTCAGTTCATTTGGTGTCTCTGTCTACCAGGAGAGAGGAAGTGTGCTGTTCTGCGGACGCCGATACAGGCCTGCAACTGAGGTGCTAGTTGGTGTGGTGTGTGTGCCAATTCGGTCGACGTAAGTAGTATAGTACGTTAGTCAGGAATAGAATGTCTGGCAGCAGAAGGTCAAGATTATCGAGAAGGAACGAACGGGGACAGAAAGTAATTGGTATGGAAATGCAGGAACAATGGAGTGTGAGACGATTCACCGATATTTGCAAGAGAAACAGTCGAGTTTGCGACAATCGACTGACATTTTGCAAATTGAGTATTCACTGTATGGCCCTCACATTTTACTAAGATGTTCTGTAATTTTGTGTTCAAACACATTCGATTGTCCCCACTTGTGTTCTCCTTAACTCTAAATTTTTGACTTAAGGTAGAAATTCAGTCTGTATCATTCACAGTTTAATGTTTATAAGTGTGGAGTTCCATCTCTATCCATACTTATCTGACAAACTGGAAGTGAATACGTATAACCGTTAAAATAAGTCATGATTTTTAATGTACGACGTTGTTGATGACATTGTAGTCCGAGTTTGGATAATCGGAGATCGCTGTCATAATCAGTAGGGGTTGTAGATTATAGACGGAGAGGAAAAGTGGCACGAAGAAGTTTTCTCTACAGTACAAAAATCGGTTAAAGATTTATGTGAGTTCAGAAAAAAAATACCGACAAAAACATCAAAATTCTACAAACGGCTGACGTCTAAAGGAGGAAATTGTGAGGAAGAATTACAATTGATTTTGCTGGCACATCGTGCCTTCATATAAGAAACAAACAAGATGTCACCTTTCCTGCTCATATATATACTAGACAACCGTGACTTCAAATGTATAAAACGACCTTACCAAAACAACAGAAGTGGATGGCAACGAATGTCTCCGAAATTCTCACGGGAATAAGACTCTTTGCACCAATGTAACTTAAGTGCACATAGTTTGATGGTTCTCGGGATCAAAAGACTCACTGAGTATCTTCCTCGATTGAATTCTTTTACTGGTCTCCATTATTGATCTTTAAGACAAAATAAGCTTAGCAACAGTTATCTACACAGATGACGAGAAGAAACAGAAACCCATAAGAACTGCAGGAGACTTATTGAAAACCGAGGAAATATTAAAAAGAATAGGGGATTGTGCGGCGAACTGTGAATTAAAATTAAACTACTTAAAATATATAATTAATGACATTTGGACCCGACGAATACAAAATGTATACCGTGTGAGAAAATCCGCTCGTAGTTGTTCTCACAGAGCGCAATTCTACTAGAGGGATGCAGATAAAGGTTACGGTACACCGTTTGTTTCCAGACACGATATTTTTAATTCTTAGCTATTTTTGACAATTTTCAGAACATACACTTGCTTGCATCCAGAAACGCTCAACATTGTTGCACCTCCGCTTCATACAAAGAATAAAAACCAATTGCAACATGTACAAGGGCACGTCACAATGTTAGACATAAGATTTATAGTCAATTTTGACAAAGGTCAACACTGCTACTCAGTTTTCTCCTTGCTAAACTGAAGGAATACGCGAACTAACATGATGATTGGGTTATGCAAACTTGCCTTCCGAATAAAAGCAACATACACAAGTCTCATCAAGGTAGATCAGGAGGTAATCCATGATGGATAACATATCTGGCGGCCAAAACACGGATAATATTGCGATTTTTTAACCAGGGTTTAGTTATATCCGGAATCATCTCACAGCTGACATGACCACAACCATTAGGTAGATTGCTTTAAAGGAGACACTTATTTATACACAAAAAGAATTAACCTTCAACTTAGCACATCCATCAGGTTAAGCGCAAAAAGCTACCTTGACTGTTCACATTGGATAGTCCCGAAGACCTGAAATCGTATTGTAAAATCAAGAATTCAGAGTCAAGAAAACAATTTGTTTTCACAAATTAGTTAGAAAAGATATTAGGATTGTTGTCTTAATATATATTCGACTTAATTCCTGTGGGCACAAGTTTTACAAGTTGACGAGGTTTTGAAACCAACAGTAACACGAGTGAGTCTGAAATACAGTATTCGTTTAACTATGTAGTAACCATATCAACATGATCATAAGCGCGGTTATCCCAGTCATATGAAAGATGTTGCTTCCTAATGAGCGAATGACTATTAAAGAAAGGAAACATGACTATCTTTACGGTAACTAATGAAGCATTTATTTGGTATTCTTTTGTAGATCCCTTATACAGTCTTTCAAGTGCAGCTGACCATGAACGGGTTGCAACTAAAGATCATTTAGATGTGTCGAAAATGCAAAAATTGTTCTCCTTTCAGAATTTGTTCAGTGAAGTACCCATATATCGTCCTTATATATGGCGTCTAAATCCAAGTGATCCCGTACCTATGTCCATGTCTAGGTATTTTCACCCTGTAGATGTTTGCAAAAAGTTAATCCAAATGTAAGAATTTGAATCCTTTAATTCTCAAAGGAGTCAGCTTAAAAAAAACAAAGATCTAATGATTGGTCATGTGTTTGAGGGTATGGATCGGTCGAAATATTTCACCCATCATACCTTATCTCTTTGCCCATATGTGAGTTAAGTACGATTACGTTTATCGATTGCTTATATAATTGTCAATACACATACATGATGCGATTTTTATCTAATGTCGTTTGATAGATGAGCTGTAATTTCACAAACTGCATTAAAACAAGAACAAGCTAGATGAGCAGTCATACGTGTTACCTTATGATTCGATCGAAAATTTAGATGGCTATACATGTAGTACACCAAACAACGTCATGGAAATAGCAATAAACAAATGAGTAAAACAGCTCTTTGAAAAAGCTGAGTAACCTCATACTTACTTACGCCTGTTACTCCTCGTGAAGGAGCATAGGCCGCTCACCAGCATTCTCCATCCAACCCTGTCCTGGGCAATCCTTTCTAGCTCCGTCCAGTTGTAATTCATCGTTTTCATATCTGCTTCTATTATCCGACGCAATGTGTTCTTTGGCCTTCCTCTTTTCCGCTTCCCTTCAGGATTCCAAGTTAGGGCTTGCCTCGTGGTGCAGTTTGACGATTTGCGTAATGTATGTCCTATCCATTTCCATCGTCTTTTCCTAATTTCTTCTTCAGCTGGAAGTTGGTTTGTTCTCTCCCACAGAAGGCTATTGCTGATGGTATCCGGCCAATGGATGTTGAGTATCTTGCGTAGACAGCTATTTATAAATACTTGTACTTTCTTGATTGTGGTTGTTGTAGTTCTCCAAGTTTCAGCTCCATACAGTAGAACTGCCTTGATGTTCGTATTGAAGATTCTCACTTTGATATTGGTTGAAAGTTGTTTTGAGTTCCATATGTTCTTCAATTGTAGGAATGCGACCCTTGCTTTGCCGATCCTCGCCTTTACGTCTGCATCTGAACCTCCTTGTTCATCGATGATGCTTCCTAGGTATGTGAAGGACTCTACGTCTTCCAGAGTTTCACCATCAAGAGTGATTGGATTGCTGTTTTCCGTTTGAATTTGAGGACCTTGGTTTTCCCTTTGTGTATGCTGAGGCCTACTGATGCAGAGACTGCTGCCACACTGGCTGTCTTTGTCTGCATCTGTTCATGTGTATGAGATAGGAGAGCTAGGTCATCTGCGAAGTCCAAATCGTCTAATTGGTTCTGAGCTGTCCATTGTATTCCGTGTTTTCCTTCAGATGTCGAGGTCCTCATAATCCAGTCGACCACCAGAAGAAAGAGGAAGGGAGCGAGTAGACAGCCTTGTCTGACTCCGGTCCTTACTTGGAATGCATCTGTCAGCTGTCCTCCGTGCACTACTTTGCACTGTAGTCCGTCGTATGAGTTCCGGATAATATTGACAATCTTCTCAGGAACTCCGTAGTGTCGAAGAAGTTTCCATAATGTCCTCCTATCTACACTGTCGAATACCTTTTCATAATGAAGTTGATGTATAGTGATGAGTTCCACTCAATTGATTGTTCGACGATGATCAGTAGTGTTGCAATTTGGTCTGTGCACGACCGATCCTTACGGAATCCAGCTTGTTGATCTCGAAGTTGGGCGTCTACTGCATCCTTCATCCGGTTCAGCAACACTCTGTTGAAGACTTTCCCTGGTATTGACAGTAGTGTAATGCCTCTGTAGTTTTCACATTTGCTCAGATCTCCTTTCTTTGGAATCTTGACGAGGTGTCCTTCTTTCCAGTCCATCGGCACTTGTTCCTCCTCCCAAATCTTTTTGAATAGAAGGTAAAGCATGCTTGTGGTTGCTTCGATGTCTGATTTCAGTGCTTCAGCTGGTATATTGTCGGGTTCTGCTGCTTTCCCGTTCTTGATTTGTCTGACGGCCATTCTAATTTCTTCCTTCGTTGGTGGGTTGACATCTATAGGAAGATCTATGTGCGCTGCTTCGATGTCCGGTGGATTCATTGGAGCCGGCCTATTCAGGAGTTCCTCGAAGTATTCTTCCCATCTGTTACGCTGTTGTTGAATTTCGGTGATTGGCTTGCCTTCTTTGTCTTTGACCGGCCTCTCTGGTTTACTGTATTTCCCTGCTAGTTTCTTCGTTGTATCGTGAAGCTGTTTCATATTTCCTTCCCTAGCGGCTTTTTCTGCCGTCGTTGCTAGTTCTTCCACGTATTTCTTCTTGTCGGCTCTAATGCTCCTCTTCACTTGTTTGTTTGCTTCTATGTATTCAGCTTGTGCTTGGACTTTCTCTGCTCGTGTTCGGCTGTTGTTTATTGCTGCCTTCTTGTTCTTCCTTTCTTTGATCTTGTCCAGTGTTTCTGTAGAGATCCATTCCTTATAATGGTGTTTCTTTAGGCCCAGAACCTCTTGACACGTTGAAGTCAATGTTTCTTTGATGCCTTTCCAGTTTTCCTCCATAGTAGTTTCTTCTTCCCTCAGTAGATCGTGTAAGCCTTGGAACGTGTTGTTGAGAGTTATCTTGAATTCGTTGAGTCTTTTAGTATCTCGAAGGAAGGCTGTATTGAACCTTTGTAGTGCTGTTTGTCCACTTGTCCAGTTCTTTTTTAGCTTCAGTTTTAAATTGGCTACAACTAGGTGGTGATCTGAAGCTACGTCAGCACCTCTCCTGGTTCTCACATCTTCCATTGTCCTTCGGAATTTTTTGTTGATGCAAATATGATCTATTTGGTTCTCTGTGGTGTGGTCCGGTGAGATCCATGTAGCCTTGTGTATACGCTTGTGTGGAAATATTGTGCCTCCTATGACCAATTTGTTAAATGCACATAGATTTACAAATCTTTCTCCATTTTCGTTTCTTTCTCCCAGTCCATGTCGTCCCATAATATTTTCATATCCAGTGTTGTCTATTCCGACTTTGGCATTTAGATCTCCCATCAGAATAGTTAGGTCCTTCCTTGGGCATTTCTCAATGATTGACTGTAGCCCCTCGTAGAACTGATCTTTAATGTCGTCGTTGCTATCATTAGTGGGTGCATAACATTGGATAATATTCATTCAGATCCCCTCCTTTGTATTGAATGATGCTTTGATGATTCTGGATCCGTGAGATTCCCATCCTACAAGTGCATTTCATGCTACTTTGGACAGCATAAGAGCGACTCTCTGAGTGTGTGGAGCATTGTCCTCTTCGTGACCGGACTATAACAGCATCTCTCCCGTAGCTAGCCTTTTCTGTCCAACTTGGGTCCAGTGGGTTTCGCTGATTCCCAGTACTGCTAAGTTGTATGTCCTCATTTCCATTGCTATTTGACTTGTCTTCCCGGTTTCCCACATTGTTCGAACGTTCCATGTACCTATAAAAATTTTTGCTCTGGTTGTTAGAAGGGGCATCGGCCTCGTGGCTTCCGAAGGAACTCGGCTTTCACCATGAAGCGTCATAATTCTTCTAAATGAAGACCTTCTAACTCCCAGGGCAGAGTTAAAATGGTTTGGATTATTTTTTCTCGTAAGCGTTTTTTTAGCGAGTTAGTTTTCTACGGGATGGGGACGCTAACCCCATGCCTAACCCTCCTCCTTTACCCGGGCTTGGGACCGGCAGTAACCGTATAAGAGCTACAGGCGGAGTTGAGTAACCTCATAGTTGACTAACATTTTTAGTCTTTAAAAGATACAACGGCGAGATTATAATTTATGGACGAACTAATCAGATTTAGGATAGCAGGTCTTGGATTTTAGCACGAAATTCATCCACTCATTTGGCTTAATACTATGACGGTAATACAGATGATGCCAGTTCGTGGTGAAAACCGTAAATCGAATTCCCAACCCTACCATCAACTGTGAATCATAATTATAATTCCTCACATAGCTTTATAACCCTCATTTAGTCCTAGTTTGCGGATGGATTTTTCAAGGTCGTTTTAAAATAAGTAAAAGAGCAGTTCCAGTTTGGGAAGGGTAGGAGGCTAGATGGTCTGTGCTAGTCCTGGAAATCATGGTCTCAGTTGAATCAACTTTCTTTTGAAAGAGTCGACAGATGGAGCTTCAACTGCATGTTGAGGTAATGAATTCTACTCGTTGATGATTCAATGGGAAAGTCGATAGTCAGCTGACAGGTAATTTGTTCTGGGCTTGTGAGCTTTTTGGAGTGTCCTCGTGAATTCTCTGTTTTGAAAGATGAAAAGTAAAGGCATATCAGATGCAAACTTATCACTGAGTAATTTGAAAACCGTAATCAAGTCATTTCTAGTTCTTCGATACGGTAATAGGAATCGGTTTAGTTTAGCCAGTCGAACATGATACTGGAGCTTTGCTATTCCGGAAATCGGCTTAGTTGCTGTTATCTAAATCTTTTACAAAAGCTCATTGTCTTTTTTAAGTAGGGGCTAGCCGCTTGTATGTAGTACTCAAGTTTAGGACGCACGAATACTGTATACCGAGTCAAAAACGTTTGAGCGTCGACATGACTATGAGACCTACGTATTGACCATAGGGTTCTAAAGCCTTTGGTGGCTATCGCAAAGCAGTTTGCAGTAGTTTTTAAGTCTTGGCTAACGATGACTCCTAAATCATTGTGTGTCTGGACAAGTATCTCGATGTTATTTATCATGTATGTATCTGTACCTCGATGGTCAATATGCATCACAATGCACTTGGAAGTATTTATCGGTAACTGTCAAGTTTGAGACCATTCAGATAATTTCTCCAAGTCATTTTGAAGTCCGACGCTATCAACTAATTGTCTTCATCTGTATTTGTTCGTGTGTATGAGATAGAAGGGGTAGGTCGTGTGCGAAGTCCAAATCTTCTAATTGATTCCGAGCTGTCCATTGTATTCCGTGCTTCCCCTCAGATGTGGAGGTCTTCATAATCCAGTCGACCACCAGAAGAAAGAGGAAGGGGTAGAGTAAGCAGCCTTGTCTGACTCTGGTCCTCACACGGAATACGTGTGTCAGCTGTCCTCCATGCACGACTTTGCAGTGCGGGCCGTCTTGTGAATTCCGGATGACGTTGGTGATCTCAGTTACACCATAGTGTCGAACAAAGTTCTATGATGTTCTCCTATCCATATTGTCAAACGCCTTGTCATAGTCAAGGAAGTTGATGTGTAGTGACGAATGCCACTTAAGTGATTGTCCAGCGATGATCCGTAATATCGTGATTTGTTATGTGCACGACCGATCCTTACGGAATCCGGCCTGTTGATCACTAAGATGGGCATCTACTGAGTCTTTCATCTAGTTCAGCAACAATCTGTTGAAAACGTTTCCTGGTACCGATAGTAGTTTGATGCCTCTGTATATCTCACACTTGTTTAAATCTACTTTCTTTAGTATCTTGATGAGGTATCTTTTCCAGTCTGTTGGCATTTGTTTCCCCTCCCAAATCTTCCTGAATAGAGTGTGAAGCATTTTTGCAGTTACTTTTTGTTTGACCTTGTTGCTTCAGCTGGTATGTTGTCAGGTCCTGCTGCTTCCCCACTCTTGCTTCGTCTGATGGCTGTCGTGATTTCTCCCATCGTTGGTGGAGTGACATCTATAAGAAGGTTTGTGTGCTGCCCCGATGTTTGGTGGACTCAGTGGAGCTGGTGTATTCAACAGTTCCTCGAAGTATCCTACCCATCTGTTCCTCTGTTCTTGAGTTTCTGTGACTGTCTTGCCTTCTTTGTCCCTGACCAGTCTCTCTGGTTTATTATATTCCCCTGCTAGTTTCTTCGTTGTGTCACATAGCTGTCTCATATTTTCTTATCTTGAAGCTTTTTCCGCTGTCGTTGCTAGCTCTTCAACATATTTCTGCTTGTTGGCTATAATGCTTCTCTTCACTTGCTTGTTTGCTTCTGTATATCTAGCTTGTGCCTTGACTTTCTTCTCTTTTTCGGCTGTTGTTAACTGCTGTCTTTTTGTTTTTCTTTTCTTGAATCTTGTCCATGGCTTCCATAGAGATCCATTCCTTATGATGATGCTTGTTGTGGTCCAGCACCTAACACGTTGAAGTTAATTCTTCTTTGATTCCTTTCCAGTTGTCCTCCATACTAGTTTCTTCTTTCAGTAGGTCCTATAAGGCTTGTAATATGTTGTTGAGATTTATCTTGACTTCATTGAGTTTGTTAGTATGCCGAAGTAAGGCTGTATCGAACCTTTGTACTGCCGTTTCTCCGGTTGTCCAGTGTTTCTTTAGCTTCAGTTTCATCTTGGCCACAACCAGCTGGTGATCTGAATCTGTAACAAAATAAAAGGCAACAGTTTTTGAACTCCTTGCTTAACATGCATCTCTATCCCAGTTAAAGTTACAATACAAATTGTTCAACGACTTGTTTCAGCTGGCTCATCAGCATAATCGATTGTTTAGTAAGATCATTCCGACAATACAGCAGAATAAATCAAAATCTGGCATAGAAAATGTTCTAATTCACTGACCACTCGCCTAAAACTCTTATTCTTGAATTGATCGCCTTCTGATATATCTATTTTAGCAAATATGAATCTACAGTGCTTGAATTATTTAACCAACGATTTATATTGTTCCCGATATTGCCAGTCCACAGGCTACAGTTCTACGCAAATATATTAAATGTTTAACGTTTCATTGCATCACTCTACAAGTTTATTAATAAAGTGTTGTACGCATCTTTGCAACATGTAAATAGTTCTCAGCAAAATGGGAAATTTTTTCACTTAAGCGCCCTAACTAAGCCATTTAAGCAGTTACGGACTCTAGTCAGTATTACATCGAGTGTAATAATTGGTCAAATAAATGTAGCTTCGCTGTTTACTGACACCCAAAACAGTACTCGTATGACATCCAAACGGGGAAAGCAAATATTCAAGGATTGGTGGTTAAGATTTATTTATTTGTTTTGATGAGATTTCAGTAATATTTATCACAATGCAATTTTTTCATATATCAGCCTTCAGGAAATCCGAAAATTATGGATATTACGTTGGACTCTTTAGTAGGAAATGAAAATATCACCCAAATAGATCTAAGGCCGAAACGACCTGTCTATATATCACGTTATGTGCAGACAATGTATCGTGATTCAGAGGCGCAAACTGACCCATATTCTCCATTGTATGTTGTCAATACAGGGGAAAACCTTGAGACACTGAAATTAACTTCGTTGAGTTATGGATATGGACTTCCAGTCGGATTATTTGATGTTGAAAGAATTGAACGTGCAAGACAAAGACGAGAAATTGAAGCAAATTTACCGCCGTATAAAGATATTGCAAATAATCTGGTACAAATTGCCAAACGACGTAAAATTTTGGAAGGTTTAGAAAATCTTGAATGGTACTTCAGAGAAAGAGAGGTTGAAGCGTAAGTCAGTCAATTTATTATTACTAAGCTTTTCCAGTCATGTAATTTATGGACGAGGAATTCACTTTAAAAAGCAATTTTCGTTCCTGATAAGTAGAATCAAGGAAACAATGAAACTAGAAATTTGTAAAAGTTTGTTATACCGTTGTCCTGTACTCATCAAGAGCCCTAAGACGTAGGTGTGGTTTAAATCTCAGTTTATCCAACTTGGTGCTTGAGCCTAATTAGTTTTTACTTTCTTCAAATTGATTGAAGCTGAAACTCTGGTCACATATTTAGTACTTGGTACGAGGCATAAAGGTCTTGGCTTGAGTTGCCGTTAAGGCTGTAGATATTCATTATTGAACGCTCCCAAACTAGTAAAGATGCCACAGATATTCAGAGTTTGACAACGCCTTTACACATGACACCGTCCCAATTGAAGTATGCCAATCCAGTCAAATTAGAAATCAGAAATCAAGGTCAGCCAGTCAGTCAATAACACCATAGAACTCCGTAAGTACATACGTCAATTTAAGTTGCCATACCACATTAGCACAGAGGTACAATTGTCTATTCAAATCACATGGTGGTAGAGGTGGTAAAAGTATAAGCAGTAATCGGATAGATTAGGGTTTGAAAATGTTGTTCAATGAGTATGACCCAGTGAAAAAAATTGGAAAGAGAAAAAAGGAAGGGAGATGAAAAAATCAGACAATTAGAATTTGCGAGAACATAAAAGTGGATGCACCTGCAACTTTGCAAACGATTTTGAGTCATTTCATTCAAGGTCTCTGACCGTTGGTTGCTATCATCTCGCGGATCCCAACCAGGTAGTCTACACCTACAGACACTGCTCAGTCCACTTGCCAATGACCTCATGGATTTGTACCATGTTTCGGTCTGGCCACCCCTAGCTTTCTTCCAACCTACTCGTACACCATAAAACATCGCTCGTTCGGGCAGTCGGTGGTTGTGTATACATAACACATGTCTCAGCCATCTCAACTGATGAAGTTTCACTACTTCAATTGATTTGCCGTCCCTACCTAGCATCCGTTTCCTAACAACTACATTACTTACTTGGTGGTCCCAGGATATATGAGCAATGCTTTGAAGACATCCATGATCGAATACTAGTAACCTACCAATATCCTCTACTCTAACCGGCCATGTTTCACTGCCATAAAGTAGGCCGGAACGAACTGCTGCGCAGTAAACCCGTCCTTTGGTTGATAGACGGATATCTCGCCTACGCAATAAATGACGCAAGTTGGAGAAAGCCAGTCAAGCCTTCTGTATCCGTGCTGACGTTTCGTCACACACTAGACCACAAGGGCTGACGAGACTCCGAAGATAAGTGAAGCGGTCGATACACTCAACTCCATCACTCCCCATCATTAGTTCAGGTGCCGATGCAACTCAACCCTGAAGTGACATGTTGCATTTCGAGGGGGAGAATCGCCTTCAGAACATGCTTGCATTGTTGCTTACGGTGGTCAGAAGACTGCATTTTGTCAGCGTCTTCACCAAATAGAACTCTATCATTGGCATACTCTAAGTCAACAAGTGAATCGCCCGGTAAAAGTTTATCCCCTGGAAATTTAGATGAAGAAAGCATTATCTCTAAAAGCACGTCAACAACAAAGTTAAGCAAAAATGAAGAGAGTTGACAGCCCTGAAGAACACTCGAGGTAATCAATTCTGATGACAGTTCGCCATAAGCTCTGACTCGACCAGTTGTGTAGGGAGAGAGAGAGCCTGTATAAGGTTAATGTATTTCCTTGGTACTCCTTTCAGTGACAAACACTGCCATATATCCTCACTATCAACAGAGTCAAATGCCGCCTTAAGGTCGAAAAGTACTATTATTGTGGGACGTCTGAATGTGTGTCTATGTTCTAGGACCTGACGTAGTGTGAATATCTGGTTCACACAGCCACACCCAGGTCGAAAACCAGTCTGGTTTTCTCTAGTTCTGCTCTTCAAGAGCTTTAGTTAGGCGTCGACACATTATTGAAACTAATGTTTTAGACACTATATTAGTCAAACTGATTCCTCTGTGATTGTAACAAGAGGACTTTTGCCCTTTCTTATAGACTGGCACAATCAGTGGTTGAGACCAGTCAGATGGGATTACATCCAGTTCCCAGATTCTGCCTAAGACCTCAGTCAATCTCGCTGCTAGTACTGGACTGCCATCCTTAAAAATCTCAAGGGTAAACCTGTCAGAACCTGTTGCTCTCCCACGCTTCAGATTTCCTATAGCTTTTTGGACCTTGTCAAGAGTTGGAGGACTTACATCAACTGGTCATTCAGGTCGACTGGAGATCGTGGGAAACCGAAGTGTGGTTGAAGGCCAGTTGAACTGATCCCTAAAGTGTTCTGCCCATCCATCCAATCTCCTGAATTGAGAATGAACAATATGTCCTTCTTTTTTTGAAATAATTTCGCTAACAGTCGGTTTCCTAATATCGGTTTCCTTAACAAGTCTGAACAATTGTCTGCTATTACCTATTGCCTCTGCCTTTTCCGTCTCTCTTGCTTTCGCTACCCACCACTGTTCACGATCATTGCGTAGGCTCCTTATCAGCCTGCGCTTAAGCTGACTCCGCTCTTTGTCATGTTTAGAGCCAGATGGGATGAGTTTTCGAGCATCTATCACTGCGGTGGATGCCGCTCAGACCCAGTATTTTTCCCTAACCTTATGGTTTACTGTCCTAGCAGATATCACTGCTGTTTCCACAGCTTTTCGGATATCATTCCATGCTGCCTCGGGGTGGACATCACTTACATGGCTGCCTAACCGTGTTTTCTAGTTGTTCCTGAAATATATTCTTAGCTTAGCTATCATTGAGTAGAACCCTAAGAGGTTTCTTTGAATCGTCTTACCTACGTCCAGTGAGACGCAGACAAATACGCGCTCGCACTAGAGCATCATGTGAATCCAAGCATGTGCTCCACAACAAGCGTCAGTCTTCTGTTGAGCCTCTCCATCGATGGCTGACAGCAATGTGATCTATTTGGGTCCAACTTTGGGACGAATTCGGGGGTCGCCATGTCAAAATATGTTTTTCCTTATGCTTAAAGTTAGTATTTGCAAGGAACAGGCGGTTATCTGATCATAGCTGCATTAGACGATCGCGATTATCTGTTCTTTGAGCCACGACACCATAAGATCCACTCAGCTGTCCTTGATTTTCGATTAATTTATCTGAGTGTACATTGAAGTCACCAACCACCATTACTACATCAGGGCACCTAACGTTTTGAAGGTCAGAAAACTTTCTGTAAAACTCATCTCTCACCTCATTTGAGCTGGAGTCAGTGGGAGAGTAGACAGAGAGGATGGAGAGGCAACAACGAGTGTCCTTATCTTTCCGAGTCCTTAGTGTTCCATTTAGTTGGACAGCACGCAAGCAACTGTCCACTGGGATCCAGTCTAAGAGCGTTAGTTCTGCCCTAGGACTCAATGCTAAGGGGTTCGCAGGTATAATTGAAAAGGCTATCGATACTTCGAGAAGCGCTTGAACTAAGTTACCTAATTGTTGCAAGCGACGCTCAGCACAATATATTCGGTGCGGATGCGTGAGCAAGCGCCTTCATTCAAGTGTGCCAAGTCAAAATAATGGGATCAGCAATATTGTCGAAGACTTACAGAACAATTTATTTTGCAAATCTTTTACCGCTACACTAGTAAGGAAAGTTGTTCGGTTCTCTGCATTTTCCAACGATTCTCCATTTGATAACAGCTTTCAACAATCCTTTTTAGTTGCTATTCATTCTTTTCATGCCTGCTTTCAATTCTCCGTGCAGCTTTCCTTTGGCCTTCATCTATGAAGGATTAATGCATTCTAATCACATCAATATAACGATGATGAATTTAAATAAAATGATTTACTTGATGCAAAAGATGACTGAAATCTTCTTGTTTTGCTAAAATTGTTAATTTTTCACGTTTTTTTTGAGCTTGTTCATCTTCTAACAGAGCATGCGTTGACCTTGACTCAGCAATTAATTCACTACGTTTTCGTTTACCCTCATACATTTGAGTCTGAATTGCACGCCCGCGAATTAATTGTTGCAACATAATTACAGCTACTTTTTGTCTTTCAGATTCTTCCTGAATTCAACAAATAAACAGTTGAATTAGTCTTAAAATAAAATAATTACAATGTATATCGAAAATGATTCTTTCAAAATTACAGTTAATTGAAATTAGAATCACATGTTTCATCACAAGTTAATTGAACTTAAAAAACTTGGAACACTAGATGTTGAATATTTTGAAAAGTTACATTAAAACTTGACTTCTGTAAACAGATTCAGCGACTCAACTGCATCATATTATCCAAAAGATCTAACTTTACATGATTGAATCTCGTGAAAGAGTTAAACTTCTGCGCTAGAAAATAACAAGCGTCAAGGGACATTGTGCGAATTAGCGTTAAAACATTAACTTTTCGCATATTTTTATATACATACTTTAACTGCGTTGTTACACTTCAAGGAGGAATATAAGTCGCCCAACAACATTCTTCATTGAACTCTGTCCAGGACAATACTTTTCAGTTGTTTCCAGTTGCTATTCATCCTTTTCATGTCTCTTTCCAATTTTCCGTGCAGCTTTTCTTTGGCCTTCCTCTTTTCCGTTTCCCTTCATGATTCCAAGTTAGCGCTTGCTTCGCGATCCAGTTTGGTGACTTCTACAATGTATGACCTATCCACTTTCAGTGTGTTTTCTTGATTTCCTCTTCAACTGGAAGCTGGTTTGTTCTTTCCCACAGTAGGTCGTTGCTGATGTTATCCAGCCAACGGACATTGACTAACTTGCGTAGACAAGTGACTATAAGTACTTGTGCTTTCTTGATGATGGCTGTAGTAGTTCTCCAAGTTTCAGCTTCGTTTAGTTGGACTGTCTTGACGTTCGTATTGAAGATTCTGATTTTGATATTGGCTGACAGTTGTCTTGAGTCCCACATGTTCTTCCATTATAGGGATGCGTTCGTTACTTTGCCAATCCTTGCCTTTACGTCTTCATCGGATCCTCCTTGTTCACTGATGAAGCTTCCCAGGTATGTGAAGTTTCCACCTCTTCCAGAGCTTCCCCATCAAGTGTGATTGAGTTGGCGTTCTCCGTGTTTCATTTAAGGATCATGCTTCTTCTCTTGTGTATGTTGAGACCTACTGATTCAGAGGCTGCAGCCATACTAGTTGTCTTCATCTGTATTTGTTCGTGTGTATGAGATAGAAGGGGTAGGTCGTGTGCGAAGTCCAAATCTTCTAATTGATTCCGAGCTGTCCATTGTATTCCGTGCTTCCCCTCAGATGTGGAGGTCTTCATAATCCAGTCGACCACCAGAAGAAAGAGGAAGGGGTAGAGTAAGCAGCCTTGTCTGACTCTGGTCCTCACACGGAATACGTGTGTCAGCTGTCCTCCATGCACGACTTTGCAGTGCGGGCCGTCTTGTGAATTCCGGATGACGTTGGTGATCTCAGTTACACCATAGTGTCGAACAAAGTTCTATGATGTTCTCCTATCCATATTGTCAAACGCCTTGTCATAGTCAAGGAAGTTGATGTGTAGTGACGAGTTCCACTTAATTGACTATTCAACAGAAACTCCTGACACGTTGAAGTTCGTGCTTTTTCGATCGCTTTCTAGTTGTCCTCCATAGTAGTTTCTTCTTCTTTGAGGCTTCGAACGTGTTGCCGAGATCCATTCGTAATTCGTTGAGTTTTTCAGTATGTCGAGGGAAGGTTGTATTGTTGAATGCACATAGATTCGCGAATCTCTTACCGTCTTCGTCTCTTTCTCCCAGTCCATGTCGTTCCATTATGTAACTATACCCGGTGTTGTCCATTTCGACTTTGGCGTTTAGGTCTCCTATCGGTATGCTCAGTTCCTTTCCTGAGTACTTCGCTACGACCGATTGCAGCCTCTCGTAAAACTGATCGTTATCTTTGTCGTTTCTATCATTGGTGGGTGCACAACACTAGGTAACATGCATTGTGATTCCCTCCTTCTTTGTTTTGAGGGACGCCTTGATGATTCTGGATCCATGAGATTCAAATCCTACAAATGCTTTACGTGCTTCTTTGGACAGCATCAGAGCAACTTCCTGAGTGTGAGGAGCACTTTATTTTTCATAACCTGTGTACAGCAGCATTTCTCTCAAATCCAACCTTTTCTGTCCAGCATTGATCTAATGGGACAATGTGGGAGGACCAGTCAAATAGCTACGGGAATGAAGAGTTGCAACATGGCGATACCTATATTAGTTGTTCCCTTGGTTGTTAGAAGGGGCATTGGCTTTGTGACTTCCGAAGAATCTCGGCTTTCACAACGAGACATCATAATTCTTCTGAATAAAGACCCTTCAACTTCCAGGACAGAGTTTAGATTGTTTAATTTGCTTAGCGTTTTTTATTAAGGTTGTTTTCTACGGGATGGGATTGCTGACTTTATGCCCAAACCTCCTCTTCTTATTTATTTGTTTATTTAAACAGATAAACATTGGTACAAGGAGGCATCAAATAGGTTTGCGCCACATAAATCGCTCGATTTTTTGGGCGTTGGGATACTGTCCGGGTGCCCAGACCGAAACAGGTGGTTTTCTTAGTGGGCCACACCCGGAGCCTTTGACCTAAAGGTCTAATCCACAAGGCAGTGGAGTGACGTCAGGAGATGCAGTCGCATGGTAGCCGGTGACCAATAATTTGTTCATTCGCCATTTTTTTCCTTCAGGATCCTAGAGCCCATATGCACCATTGGTTTGGAATCAGGGTTTTCCAACTCCGCTAGGTGGATCTTCCTTATCCACTAACCCAGTTAAAGCTCCGGGCATTCACTTTTCACCCTCTCAATTTCGTAGACAACACCCCGTCCGCGGGAAGGCAGCGAGTAGGACTTCCCTGGCAGTGGCTGTGTACACGTGGCCATGTGAGAGCATTTCGTGAGGGAGAGCTGACTCTCCCCATTTTCGACCGTACCAGAGCATTTTGAGACTGTCTCCTCCTCTACCTGGGCTTGGGACCGGCAGTAACGTTAGAAGTGCTACCGGTGGAATTACTTTGGCTTCAGCGTCGTATAAATTTCCTTCGAAAATCATCTTCAGCGGGAAGTTTTTTGGTAGCACGTAATCACAGTTGATTATCTGTTTAAGGAATAAGTTGGTTTTTGATTTGAATTCCTCTATAAATACATGATTACTGTTGTGCTTGGATATTACTTTGGGAATTGTACTCTTTTGAACGGCCAATGCACTACTTCACAAGATCAAGTAAGCTGAGGCAGTGCAAACCAGACACTTATACTTGACACTTTCCCGAATGATTTGCTTTCTGGATAAAAAGATCCGAGGCCCTGTTGAATAAAGGCCTTTCTCAGGGGACCGGACAGTCCGTTCTTCATTATCCGTGCCATATCCCCACTGAATTCAATTTTCATATATAAAAATTTCTTCGGAATTGTGAGAATGGGGTAGGATTACCTAACCCCCAACACAGTTAAGGAAAATGACATTTTTGAAAGCATTTTCTTAACTGAATTGTCCTTAATTTTTCTTCAATGATAACGCATTTATTTATCGATTAGTCGAGTTTTCATACTTTCGTTGATTTTTCTCCTGTACAGAATGCAAGAAGTTCGACTAAATGTAATCGTTCAACTTTTGCGTAGACGTGAACAACGTAAACAAGAAGTCATATCTAGGCGATTAGATCAGAAATGGAGCGAAAGTTGTGCACAGAATGAGACAAAATGCAGAGCTATAAAATATCGTTATATTGGAGGTAATATTATAATGATTTATTTGAGACTAAAGTGCTACTAGTAACGAAGAATTCATATCTTATTAAATTAGGCGGTTTTGTGTATGTTTCTATATATTTTGAATAAATAAGGTGATATGATAAAGTTATTAACGTCTAGATCTAATACCAACTGGAAAACCATCGACAATCAGTGAGCCGTGGACATTCTCCAAGTTCGAGACTTGTCATTAGTATTCATACAGGAATCCAGACGGATTCGAAACCATGACCTTACCTTCGGACCTAGTGGAGAAAACAATACCTTTAGAAATTCTGGCAGATACCTGTGACATTTTATAGTTAATCCTATCAGGAGTGCGGTAGTTACACACCGATGATAATAAAACCTTGTCCCTTCATACCACTAAAAGTAAATGCGAATTACTACATCTCGGTTTGGTGATCGGACTGTATAATGTTCTTTTAGAAATATACAAGTCTTGAACCTATGTAACAACCACATAATTGCGTTCAAATATTTCTTCCAGTTTATCCTTAGCTAACATACATTGCTCTATGGCTTCCTTAGCTTTCCTTGTGCAGAAATGAATAAAGTTGACAACATTAGTTTTATTATCACTTGTCATTTACTCAAAAAATTTCTGAAATTCGTATAAAGTTTGATACGCATTTGGTTTATCATGATCCTTGTTCACCTCTAGCTTAAGTAGTTTTAATTGATGCTCGATGTAATCTTCTACTGTGTCTGATGTATGTTCGCGAATCATTACAGTTAAATTGTCTTCATTGGGCTATAAATTTTTCGCGATGGAGCCTTTCAAAGTGACTAGTTTCTCAATTTCTTCTACTGTCAGCTTGTTAACTTTACTTTTAACGTTTCTAAGGCAGATATAGTTAGTGGCTATCAATGGAATGAAGAATGTGCATTTCATCCTATTTGGGACTTATAATCTAGATACTAGTTACTCAATGGCAATATCTATGGTGCACAATTTGTGTGAATGTATTTATTCTAGGGCTAAATATTTACCGAGTACTTGAATAAAAAAAATCATTCATATTTCACAGTACTTGTCTGTTGCTGAAACTCTGAATTTTCTCACTTAAACGTTAAAATTTTTTAAACTATTAAGTACTAGGATTCATTATGTTGTATATAGGTAAATATTTTCAACTGTTTTGAGTTTGTTGTTTTTCATATACACCTCGCTGGAAAGCAGTACTTTTTAGCGGAGACACACACTGTTTCCAGCTTAAACATCCATCGATTATTTATTAGACAGTTTTATGATTGTTTTATCGTATTTTTTACATTGACTTAGTCGTAAGGCATATTTCATCTCGTGAGTTGTTAGCTTATTGTTTACTATTTATTAATTACAGTCAATTAACTAGAAATTTCAGCTTCTCATCAAAAGTTCCCTCGTTGTGTAGTTATTGAAACTCGCTAGTGGTGGTTCGTTGTGTTCTTATATTTTCCTACTAATAAACACATGAGTTAAAAGTCTAAATAGTAAAAAGTACTTGCGACTACTCAGATGTATTACTGGCATTCTCACTAGAGGTTTAATAAAGTGGGAATCCGAGGCTCCCATTTGGTCATGTGATGAATACATTGGATCTTCTGTTGTCAGTATAGGATCGAGCATTAAAAAAAAACTTGAACTGATATACTTCTTCATTGTTCTGTCTGTTAAATAACAGTATTTACTGTAAGCTTCGGCAGCGAAAATAGATGTAACGGCAACCACAATAAATAATACTAATCCACATAACTCCAGCTCACAAGTTCAAATTAAAAGACTAAGAAATACAAAGAATTTTTTCTCTCAGTGTGGTGATTTACACAACTGGCAGTCACATGCATTCAATATGAGTTGTGTTTTTTTAGACAGTTGGTTTAGAATAGCATTAAAATGACTGGCTTAAATTTGTTGCGCACATCTCCCCACTCATTATTGAACAAATCGTCATGACTTCCCTGTTTTTCACTCAAATATGTCGCCCAATAATATTAATCCTTTTAAAAGTGACACAATCGGTTAAGATTGTTTTAGGATGGATATAAAAATCAACAATTTATGGGATGATTATCTTTTCACTGGCAATGAACTCAGGTAATTACGTTTTCACTAGTTTGGATTTAAGTTCCAACATGGTTTCAACCTCAGAATTCTGTAATCTTTATATGTATGAGTGGAGAACAGTGTGCACCTGAACATATTGAGCACTCATTTCGCTACCAATTAAAAAAACCCACTATTTTCCATTACTTATGGTCATATCCTGGAAATGTATTATTAGGGTTAAAGAAAAAAACCACAGTCGCTTGAATATCGGCCGATCTCACATAGAAATACTTTAACTAAAACGACATAATATTAACATTATCATACTTATTCTGATTTTGATTATACTCAAAATACCCTACTTTATTCCATTTGTACTATTTAAACTTAGGTAAATTTAGTTCTTTTGTTATTTCTCTGAATAAGAAAAATAAACTAGGTTGTATGACGTTGCAAATCCAATTTTCTACTCATTGAGATTCTATAAATATATAAATCGACCGACCACTGAGTAGTTACCAATGCCACTTTTGTAATTCCACCGATTAAGTGGTAATATGGCCATTAGTCTAAGTGGTTCAACACTGGACGACACACCATAAAATATCGGTCCAGGATTTTTGCCGATTGCCTCCAACCATCTGATATAATATAGTGTGCACGATATCAACAGCCTAGAGTCCTTATTGTTCCTTTTCCCTGCCTAGCTTTGACTGTTAAATCCAGAACACCAGTATCAGCTTCCACTATTACTTACTTACTTACGCCTGTTACTGCCAATGGAGCATAGGCCGCCGACCAGCATTCTCCAACCAACTGTGTCCTGGGCCTGCTTTTCTAGTTCCATCCAATTATTGTTCATTTTTCTAGTGTCTGTCTCCATTTCCCGGCGTAATGTGTTCTTTGGTCTTCCTCTTGTCCTTCGGCCTTGAGGATTCCATGTGAGGGCTTGCCTTATGATGCAGTTGGGTGCTTTCCTCAATGTGTGTCCTATCCACTTCCAGCGCTTCTTCCTAATTTCTTCCTCCGCTAGGATCTGGTTTGTTTTCTCCCATAGTAGGTTGTTGTTAATAGTGTCCGGCCAACGGATCCGAAGTATTACGCGTAGACAGCCGGTAGTAAACACTTGTATCGTCTGGATGGTGGTTTTCGTAGTTCTCCAAGTTTCCGCTCCATACAGTAGAACCGTCTTGACATTTGTATTGAAAATTCTGACTTTGTTGTCGGTTGACAATTGTTTCGAGTTCAAGATTTTCTTCGGTTGTAAATATGCTGCTCTTGTTTGCCGATTCGCGCCTTCACATCTGCATCAGATCCACCGTGTTCATCAATGATACTGGCCAGATATGTAAAAGTTTTGACATCTTCTAAGGCTTCTCCGTCAGGTGTGATCTGATTGGTGCATGCTGTGTTGTATCGGAGAATCTTGCTTTTCCCTTTGTGTATGTTGAGACCTACTGCTGCTGAGGCTGTTGCTACACTGGTCGTTTTCTCCTGCATTTGTTGTTGCGATTGCGATAGGAGGGCCAGATAATCTGCGAAGTCTAGATCGTCCAAATGCACCCTAGATGTCCACTGTATCCCGCGTTTCTCTTCAGATGTTGACGTCTTCATGATCCAGTCGATCACCAGGAGAGAGAGAAAGGGTGAGAGTAAGCAACCTTACCTGACACCGGTCTTTACCTCGAACGAGTTTGTCAATTGTCCTCCATGCACAATTTTGCAGTTTAATCCATCATAGAAATTCCGTATGATAGTGACTATCTTCTGAGGCACGCCGTAGTATCGAAGATGCTTCCGTAGTGTTGTTCTGTCCACGTTATCAAATGCTTCCTCGTAGTCAATGAAGTTGATGTAGAGTGATGAATTCCATCCAATCGATTGTTCCACAATGATCCGTAGAGTTGCGATTTGATCTGTACACGATCGATCCTTACGGAATCCTGCCTGTTGGTCTCGAAGTTGGGTATCTACGGAGTCCTTCATTCTGTTTAACAATACCCTGTTGAAGACTTTTCCTGGTATTGAGAGAAGAGTGATACCTCTGTAGTTCTCACACTTGCTGAGATCGCATTCCTTTGGTATCTTGTTCAGAAGTCTTTCTTTCCAGTCTGTTGGCACTTTCCCTCCATCCCAAATCTTGCTGAAAAGAAAGTGGAGTATCCTTGCAGTTACCGCTACGTCTGCTTTCAGTGCCTCTTCTGGAATGTTGTCCGGTCCTGCTGCTTTGCCACTCTTGATTTGTCTGATGGCCATACTAGTCTCATCAATTGTTGGTGGGCCAACATTGATTGGGAGGTCGGTGGGTGCTGCTTCGATGTTGGGTGGGTTCAGTAAAGCTGGTCGATTCAAGAGTTCTTTGAAGTGTTCTACCCACCTGTTTCGATGTTGGTGATTACTTTACCCTCTTTTCTTTCCACTGGTCGTTCTGGTTTACGGTAATTTCCAGGTAGTTTCTTTGTTGTGTCATGCAGTTGTCTCATGTTTCCTCCTCTTGCAGCTTTTTCCGCCGTCATTGCTAAGTCCTCCACATATTTACGTTTGTCAGTTCTGATGCTCCTTTTCACTGGCTTGTTTACTTCTGTGTATTCAGATTGTGCCTTGGCTTTTTCTGCTCTTGTTCGGCTGTTATTGATTGCTGCCTTCTTGTTCCTCCTTTCTTAAATCCTATCCAGTGTATCAACAGTGATCCATTCCTTGTGGTGGTGCTTCTTGTGGCCCAGAACCTCATGACATGCTGAAGTGATTGCCTCTTTGATCCCCCTCTAGTTGCTCTTCATAGTAGTTCCCTCTCCATTGAGTAGATCGTGAAAGGCCTGGAACGTATTACTGAGGGCTGTCTTGAATTCACTGAGTTTGTCAGTATCCCGAAGAAAGGCCGTACTAAACTTTTATGCTGTTGTCCTCCCCATTGTCCGGTGCTTCTTGGGTTTCAGTTTCATCTTGGCGACCAGCAAGTGATGATCTGATGCTATATCAGCTCCTCTCTTAGTTCTCACATCCTTCATCGTCCTCCTGAACTTATTGTTGATGAAGATATGGTCGATTTGGTTTTGCGTAGTGTGATCCGGTGAAGTCCATGTGATTTTGTGAATGCGTTTATGTGGGAATATAGTGCCGCCTATGACCAGTTTATTGGAGGCATATAGGCTTGCAAATCTCTCACCATCTTCGTCCCTTTCTCCCAGTCCGTGTCGTCCCATGATGTCTTCATATCCGGTGTTGTCCATTCCAACCTTGACATTTATTATTATTATTATTATTATTATTATTATTATTATTATTATTATTATTAGCTTTATTCAATATTATAATTTTGGTACAATATAGAATTCTCAGCGCAAAGTATTTCAACAAGTTTCCGTTTCTTTCTTCTTGGTCGGTCCTGGCGATAAATATTGAGGAATCGCCAGTTAGATGTTAGCACTTCAGTGAATGAACAACTGAATAATGTACATTCTTTTCGTTGTACATTGCCAGCAACCATATTGTCTCTTATTGAGTTTTTTGTAACTTTGACAACGAAAGGTTGTACACTTTTCAGAAACGCAGCAGAATAGGTTATGCGATTAATAAACATAATGATATATTAAAACAAACAACAATAGATAACTTGTTGAAATATCTAGATGGCAGGAACAGGTAGCCCAGATGCTCAAGCAGGCCGCCGCATGTAAATCTCTCACCAGAATGTTCAGGTCTTTTGTTGGGCACTTCTCGACGATTGACTGCAGCCTATTGTAGAATTGATCTTTAGCATCTTCATTGTATTCGTTGGTAGGCGCAAAGCATTGGATGGCGTTCATTGAAATGCCCTATTTCTTTGTGTTGAAGGAGGCTTTGATGATCCTTGGTCCATGAGATTCCCATCCTATAAGTGCATTTTGTGCTTGTTTGGGCAACAATAATGCAACTCCTTGTGTATGTGGGGCATTTTCTTCTTCATGGCCGGAGTATAACAGAAGCTCTCCTGAAGTTATTCGTTGTTGTCCAACTTGTGTGCAGTGTGTTTCACTGATCTCAAGCACCTCTAGGTTGTATCTCCTCATTTCTGCAGCAATTTGGAAGGCTCTCCCACATTGTACGAGCATTTCATGTACCTAAATTAATGGTTGCTCTGGTTGTCAGAAGAGCATCAGCCTCGTGACTTCCGAAGGAACTCGGCTTTCACCATTATGCGTCCCAACTCTTCTAAATGAAGACCTTCTGACTCCCAGGGCAGAGTTTAATTGGTTTGAATAATTTTTTTCTGGTTAGCGTTATTTTAGCGAGTTAGTTTTCTACGGGATGGGGCCGCTAACCCTCCTTCTTTATCCGGGCTTGGGACCGGCAGTAGTTCCAGAGGGGCTTCACGTGGAGCTTCCACTACATGTATCATATGTTTCAAACATACTTGGTTTATATACAAGCCAACCATACCACACCGTACTATAAAATAGAAAATAACATTTGCACAAGATCAAGCCAAAATGTGGCTGTGATCGTGACTGTAATCAATAAACTGAGTATAATTTAAGAAGAGTAAATTGTGTAGTAATAGTCTATAAGTTAAAATAAAGCTTATAATAAGAGGAAAAGAGATATATATAATCTAGTTACTGAATAGTTATACAATGAGAATATGTATAATGTTAGTCCATTAATATTCCTCAGAAGTTACTCGTAATTTAATCTTCACTATGATATGACGGTTACCAACAGGAGATAATAGATGGTTGCTAAATGTCGCGGATTGAGTGAGGTTAAACATGTTCATCATTGGATCCAACTCATTAATCTAGAGGATGAAGGCCTTCCGTGGGGCCGATGGTCCTGGGTTCGATCCTCAGTGAGGTCGTGAATGTGGGCTGCTGAGGGGTTCCATGATAGGAAGAAACAAATTTCCCATGTTTACCGTTTTCCAATGAATGTCTAACTTAGGTCAGTTTGTGATATCAAAAACATGGAATTAATTAACACTCAATAAAAGTTCAGTGTGAAAATCTAAGTTCTGTAGTTCAGTTGATTCTCGAATACCTCAGTGTTAATGTATCTAATCTTGACAGTCAATAATGCCTCTTCAAGTAATACATAAAACATCAATTCCCATATGACGACTAAATTTATGTCTTCAAGATGAGTGCTAGCTTGCACAACGCCTAGATCTAGCTTTGACTGGCAATTATGATCGCAAAAGTGATAAAGAAATAAAGTTGTTACCATAATACTTCTCCGAGTCCAGAGAGAAATTAGATATACAAATGGTTTGATTTTCTCACCAGAGTGATTGTATTTAAAAGCGCCCCTTAATTAGAAGTTTTTAAGTAATTTACTAATCTGATAATAACTTTCATTACGTATGGGCTTCAACTAGAAACTTACTGACGCTTCTATCTGGTTTAACAATCGTCAACGGTTCGCACCGACGGCACTTCATGAAGTCGAACGAAGGACTATTAGGCATCAACCAGTGAGTAGGAATGAAATGCTTTACATTTTTTTATTTCAGTCAGTTTTCTACTTATGAAGATTGCAGTATTCTAACAGTTGAATTCACGCGTCGAACTAAGCTAGACTACTATTAGAAACCTGGAAGCACTGGACAGTCGTTTCGTCCTAGTATGAGACTCTTCATTAGTACATGCGGGACTCGGACCAGCCTACGGGGTTATGGGTGCGCACTGTTGAGGAGTCTCGCAGTAGGACGAAACGGCCGTCCAGTGCTTCAAGGTTTCCAATGATGGTCTAGCTTCGATCGACTCGTGAATTCAACGGTTTTCTATGTCATGACCGCTACCCAATATCATATTTTAGCTATTACCACACTTCCAAATTAGTTAGGTTGCAGCTATGGAAAATCTGTTTAAAAGTTGATTATCAAATGAACAATTCTAATGGTTTTTGAAGTCATTTTTCGATTTAGGATAATATTAGTTTGGTGCAGGATTACAGTTGCTCACTAATGAAAGACCCTAAACCATGACCAGGCAACTGTTCAATGCTTCTTCTTTCTTAATGGTTGTTAACTGACGTCATTTTGTAATAAATTATAGTATATCACTATTCGTTTTGTGACGATCACCGTTATGGTTTATGGATAAATAAGAATTTTCATTCTCCTTTGTGTCTTTCCTTCTTTGTATCTACTGCAGAGTTACGCAAATTATTGAAACTTCGGTTAGCTGCTAAAGAATATAAATTTAAACGTGATATGATAATGGATTATGCTAAACCATCATCTCAAGTTTTTGCTCCACTCACGCGACTTGGTGTATTTCCAGATCGTAGTTCTGAACGTTATGTTGTAAAAAATATATATTCATCGCGTTATGAAGGTAATTCAATGGTACATTTACGTATTTAGAAAATACACTGTAGCTTAAACCGTAAATCATTTTTTTTTCAGTAATGCATTCTTAAGGTACCAGAAGGATAACTTAAACTCGAGAGCAAGGAAGTTGTTATTTGATTCATGAATCACAATGTTGTGATAATTATCGCGTATTTTTTATACTTGGAAACTAGATCAGTGCTTGAGTTCTCAAGTCAGTAATATTGGTTATATATGTGCGTCATTTGTAGTTTCTTTGTATTGTCGTGCTTCTAAGACATGGCATAAATATGCATCTACCCAAATATGCATACAATATAAAGACAGTCAAATGAAACTAATAAGACTGATAGCATGGCATTCAAAATAATGGTAGGATTACGTGATAGTAAAAGGAATTAGATGTAACTAAAAGAATTATGAAAGACTTCATTATGGATTTAGAAATGTAAAATTCTTTGTGAAGATGGATCTGTGGGGATGGAGTTATTAAATATAAAAAAGATTTTTTTGAATTTTTCCATCGACTGGTTTGAAAAAATAGGGTTTGGAACTGAAGATATTGTACTTATTTAACCATTAAGTAAGGTTGTATTAAATAGCAGATACATCCAGCTGACGAGTCCCAAATAAGACGATATTCACATTGTGGATTTCATTCCCAGCTATATTCCACTTATATAAACTTATACACTGATTATATCGAAGCAATATACGCAGGATATACACACACCAACCAGGACTGATCGAATTTCAGTCAAGAAATATGAAAAATGGGATAATCCGAACCATCATAAATTATAAAGTAAGATGTATGAGAACGTGGTTAAGTTTCACTATGGTACGCCAAATATATTTGTATTTACTCAGTTCTTTTATGCTCTACGAACTTGTGATTAGATACTTATTCATGTTGTATGTAGCTGATGCGAATTTTATAAAACTGATACTCTGGACCAACAAGATATAGGTTAAAATGTAAGCGCACGTTATTGACTAAGATTTGACTTCGTTTTCTAAGGCGGGATACGACATCAGTTGAGAATGTGTCTTCATCTAAGTAGAAGTGATGTACGTGTATATTCTCAATTCGGTTTCAGTCAATACATTTTCCTTCTCACCCTCGGTCTTCTGACTCAAGTAGCTGGTTGGGTTTGTTTATAGGAAGCTTATGTATCAGTATCAGGTCTGGATGACCGTATGACATAACAACGACAAAACGGATTCAGTATATTTTTACAAACGTTTACTCTACTCACATTGTTTTGAACAGTTACATAAGCAGAAGCTATTTCAATTATCAACAGAAACAAAATGAACGAGGTTTTGTTGCTTGTTTTTTGTTCAATAAATCATAGTTCAAATCAGTCTCTTAACCAAGACTTTACACATTGCGTTTTAGCTAGATTATAACTTTGATTATGTAAGGTTTTCTTTTTGAAGTTTTCTGTTAAGCTTTAATTCTTAAATGGCTCAGTTTGGTGTCATTGTGTCCCTTAAGTTGAGTAATTTATTAATTAAGCTTTCTGGAGAACATTATTGGTGGCAATTCCTGATATAAATGAAAGTAGAGAATTTCTATTTGTAGTAGATTTGTCCAGAATTGAAATAAAAGATTTGGTATTAAGCCTTTCAAATCATAGAATTCAACACTAGTAAATCCATATACATGCTCTGCGACTTTTATCTATCAATTTTATCTTGGTTATACTACAGCAATATATAGTAACATTCCTATAGAGCTGATATTGTGGCAGTTAATCAATCCTACTGACACATTGTTCAGAAGAAAAATTCTTTCTTATGGTATGGGCCAACTCAAAATACATAAGACTATACAAACATTAGTCTTGAAGGAAATAACAACAAAGACTTAAGCAGAATAACATGATTTCCTTTTATTTCGTTTAGTTCTCGTGATATGCTTGTGATAGGCATAATCTAAAAATCATAATTACAAAATGGGTTTAAATTATCCATACAAAAGAGTTTAGTTGAAAGTTAATATGATCACATATCAGTACAGTATATCAAAGGTGTAAATAAATTTAAAAGACTAAATAAAATGTAAATATATATCTTATGTATAAGAACATTCTATAAAATCGATAGCAGCAAAAGTTCAGAAGACCAGTAACAAGTGGCAACGTAATGAATAAAGGCTGATAATAATTAAGAATAAGATGAGTGAAGCTCATTTAGTTAAAGTAAGATTTATAATTTACAAGACAGTCGAATTAAAGAGACCTATTGATGTAGTTAATTGAAGAAAGAATTGAGCAAAGTTTTACTGTGTAACGAGGGAATGTTTTTCCCCAGGGCAAAGGAAGGCTCAGTATGAAACAAAGTATTTAAAAAAACAATCAAAGGCCGACAAGTACTACTTTCGTGTTATCACCAATTCACATGTACCTGCCAAAGCAATCACATTAGCCGAACAGAAAAGAGAACTTATCTTAGATTTTTTGAACATGTTTCAAAACGCCTTCGAATAAGAGAAAGGACTATTTTAAATATTGTAATCACGAAACATCTTTTGAACAGGGAACATTAGATCAATACCTCGAAATCTTGTAGGATGATTAATAAAAAGCCAAACTTCAGTCTTCTGAAGTTTGCTAAAGCCATCACTTTCAGTCATCAGAGATCAGATTTATGTGTTGAAAAGGAGTTATCTGTTGATCTTTCCTTGCACTGATGACAAACATTCCTTCATTACACCGTAAAACCTTGCTCAATTCTTTCTTCAATTAATTACATCAATATGTATTTATTTCGACTGTCTTCTAGATTATAAATCTTATTTTAACTAACTGAGCTTCACTCATTTTATTCTTAATTATTATCAGCTTTTATTCATTATGTAGCCACTTGTTTCTAGTCCACTGGACTTTTGCCTCAAGATGATAAAGGGAGCTATGTTTATGTAAACAACAATTCTTTGTTGTGTCGATTTGAAGAATGATAGCTTCGATTAATACACACTTGTAATGATTTTTACGTTGTTTATTAACGTCTAAATAACACATAATGAATCCCAAACTATAATCCCATTTGAAAAAGCTTCATATCCATTCATCCATTCAGTATTTTTGTCACCTTTTTCAGGTCTACTTACTTTAGAAGCCAGATTGCCTCGATTCGCATTCCAACCAAGAATTAGATTACAACAACCGAAACTACACACAAAAGATGGATTTTTAAAACGTAAATATCGCCATCAAAAAGAATTAGCTGAATTACACGATGTATGTCTCTTTACTTGTGTAAAAATTGTTTAACTATAGAAAAGATTTCTTTCATGGTACATAAAAGTTATTCATTTTTACCTGGTATACATTCTTTTAAATTCATATTATCTTTTTGAAAGAAAACACGGTGTAGATAAACGATTGCTGAATTAACTGATTGTTTTCGTCATTGACTGGCATAAACCATTGTGAATTGTTGTGAACTAAGGAGGACTGGTTATCCACTTTATCTTAGTGTACAACTTGTCATCAGCACACACCTACAACCATGCACGATTAAACTGATGGCCTTAGAATTTCATGGAGAAAATGATATTGCTGAGAGGTTCGAGTGAAAACCTGCAACCTGTTAAATCAATCAAGTCAGAAGCGTAGCAGCTCTACCTTAATAATTTTAAGTGGTGATTACGCAATTTTTTAAATCAATTGCTATTGTAAACGTTAACCATTGGATACCAGATACTATGTATCAATAAGATAACAATTTTTTCAGGATCTGAAGCTTTCGGATTCTATCTCCTTTGACGTTGAGATTTCTCAAACTAGGAAATAACATTTGTCGATTAGTCTGCGGTTTTCACTGGTGTTAAAGGGGATACATCAGACGATAGCAAAAACCACATTCATACAAAACACTTAATTCGTCATATTTATAATATCAATGCAGGAAAATTATGTTAAATATGATAATAAATTTTTGACGAATAATAATCACATTTAAAAATTAGTTTGGCATACAACTCTTTACTTAGTCTAAATAGTACTAGCTCAATTGATTCATCTAACGTGAAAATAGAAATGATATAGAATTTCGATTGAACAACTATGATGTAAGTGAAGAGTGTACTCTTGAAATCTAATGCATTTCATCTTGATACCAGACACTGCTCAAACTACTCATTATTGTTTTCATAGACTTTCACAAAATATTTATTTCCTATCAGTTTTCTCACTTTACAAACAACAGCGATCAGAATTTATTTCATAGTGAGAGCATTTTTACTGACTGGGATATAATGTTGGCTATTTAAAAATTTTCGATTCGAATACAGCGTACTGAGAATTATATTGTTTTTTTCTCAGAAATACACATGGGAGTTTTCCATGTTGGGAGGCATAGGATAACTTACCTGTAAATAAATTAATTAATTAATTAATTAATTAATTAATTAATTAATTAATTAAATATATATATATATATATATATATATATATATATATATATATAATATGATGTTAAGTTGGATATTAACCGACAAATGATATTTATGTATTATTATTAGTAGACGGATTCAATACCTAAGCGATTGAGATACATCTTTTCAAATGAACAGGCGCTCAACCCCGTAAGTTATTTCGACCCACCAACAGTGAGGCTAATTACTAAAATGCCCTAACGTATAAACTGTATTCGGCATTCACCGTTTACTTATTCCTGTAAACGCTTTTGAATAAGCATAGGTCGCCCAACAACATTCTTCATTGAACTCTGTCCAGGACAATACTTTTCAGTTGTTTCCAGTTGCTATTCATCCTTTTCATGTCTCTTTCCAATTTTCCGTGCAGCTTTTCTTTGGCCTTCCTCTTTTCCGTTTCCCTTCATGATTCCAAGTTAGCGCTTGCTTCGCGATCCAGTTTGGTGACTTCTACAATGTATGACCTATCCACTTTCAGTGTGTTTTCTTGATTTCCTCTTCAACTGGAAGCTGGTTTGTTCTTTCCCACAGTAGGTCGTTGCTGATGTTATCCAGCCAACGGACATTGACTAACTTGCGTAGACAAGTGACTATAAGTACTTGTGCTTTCTTGATGATGGCTGTAGTAGTTCTCCAAGTTTCAGCTTCGTTTAGTTGGACTGTCTTGACGTTCGTATTGAAGATTCTGATTTTGATATTGGCTGACAGTTGTCTTGAGTCCCACATGTTCTTCCATTATAGGGATGCGTTCGTTACTTTGCCAATCCTTGCCTTTACGTCTTCATCGGATCCTCCTTGTTCACTGATGAAGCTTCCCAGGTATGTGAAGTTTCCACCTCTTCCAGAGCTTCCCCATCAAGTGTGATTGAGTTGGCGTTCTCCGTGTTTCATTTAAGGATCATGCTTCTTCTCTTGTGTATGTTGAGACCTACTGATTCAGAGGCTGCAGCCATACTAGTTGTCTTCATCTGTATTTGTTCGTGTGTATGAGATAGAAGGGGTAGGTCGTGTGCGAAGTCCAAATCTTCTAATTGATTCCGAGCTGTCCATTGTATTCCGTGCTTCCCCTCAGATGTGGAGGTCTTCATAATCCAGTCGACCACCAGAAGAAAGAGGAAGGGGTAGAGTAAGCAGCCTTGTCTGACTCTGGTCCTCACACGGAATACGTGTGTCAGCTGTCCTCCATGCACGACTTTGCAGTGCGGGCCGTCTTGTGAATTCCGGATGACGTTGGTGATCTCAGTTACACCATAGTGTCGAACAAAGTTCTATGATGTTCTCCTATCCATATTGTCAAACGCCTTGTCATAGTCAAGGAAGTTGATGTGTAGTGACGAGTTCCACTTAATTGACTATTCAACAGAAACTCCTGACACGTTGAAGTTCGTGCTTTTTCGATCGCTTTCTAGTTGTCCTCCATAGTAGTTTCTTCTTCTTTGAGGCTTCGAACGTGTTGCCGAGATCCATTCGTAATTCGTTGAGTTTTTCAGTATGTCGAGGGAAGGTTGTATTGTTGAATGCACATAGATTCGCGAATCTCTTACCGTCTTCGTCTCTTTCTCCCAGTCCATGTCGTTCCACTATGTAACTATACCCGGTGTTGTCCATTTCGACTTTGGCGTTTAGGTCTCCTATCGGTATGCTCAGTTCCTTTCCTGAGTACTTCGCTACGACCGATTGCAGCCTCTCGTAAAACTGATCGTTATCTTTGTCGTTTCTATCATTGGTGGGTGCACAACACTAGGTAACATGCATTGTGATTCCCTCCTTCTTTGTTTTGAGGGACGCCTTGATGATTCTGGATCCATGAGATTCAAATCCTACAAATGCTTTACGTGCTTCTTTGGACAGCATCAGAGCAACTTCCTGAGTGTGAGGAGCACTTTATTTTTCATAACCTGTGTACAGCAGCATTTCTCTCAAATCCAACCTTTTCTGTCCAGCATTGATCTAATGGGACAATGTGGGAGGACCAGTCAAATAGCTACGGGAATGAAGAGTTGCAACATGGCGATACCTATATTAGTTGTTCCCTTGGTTGTTAGAAGGGGCATTGGCTTTGTGACTTCCGAAGAATCTCGGCTTTCACAACGAGACATCATAATTCTTCTGAATAAAGACCCTTCAACTTCCAGGACAGAGTTTAGATTGTTTAATTTGCTTAGCGTTTTTTATTAAGGTTGTTTTCTACGGGATGGGATTGCTGACTTTATGCCCAAACCTCCTCTTCTTATTTATTTGTTTATTTAAACAGATAAACATTGGTACAAGGAGGCATCAAATAGGTTTGCGCCACATAAATCGCTCGATTTTTTGGGCGTTGGGATACTGTCCGGGTGCCCAGACCGAAACAGGTGGTTTTCTTAGTGGGCCACACCCGGAGCCTTTGACCTAAAGGTCTAATCCACAAGGCAGTGGAGTGACGTCAGGAGATGCAGTCGCATGGTAGCCGGTGACCAATAATTTGTTCATTCGCCATTTTTTTCCTTCAGGATCCTAGAGCCCATATGCACCATTGGTTTGGAATCAGGGTTTTCCAACTCCGCTAGGTGGATCTTCCTTATCCACTAACCCAGTTAAAGCTCCGGGCATTCACTTTTCACCCTCTCAATTTCGTAGACAACACCCCGTCCGCGGGAAGGCAGCGAGTAGGACTTCCCTGGCAGTGGCTGTGTACACGTGGCCATGTGAGAGCATTTCGTGAGGGAGAGCTGACTCTCCCCATTTTCGACCGTACCAGAGCATTTTGAGACTGTCTCCTCCTCTACCTGGGCTTGGGATCGGCAGTAACCTTAGAAGAGTCACTGGCGGAGTTTTGCTTTAAATGTATCCTTATAAATTAGTGTATTTCAACTTTGCTAGGATTTACATATTCATTGAAGTTGAAATCAATACGGAAATCTTGTTTTTAATATTCAGTCATATTTAGTGGAAGATCTTTGATTTTTCGTGACGTATTACGCTCCGTCTTGTATGTTTCTGTTGGTTATATGAAATTTTCAGTAATCACTACGTTTGCTTCAATGAGTCGTGTTGCATTGTCAGCAAATTTTGTGGTAAATGCAATGAATCATTATTTTGTTCTTCCACTTCGTTATTTTCATCTCATTGTTCTAATGAGGTATGGGAACTGGAATACATGCTGTGTTGATGAGTTCTGTTTGTCTATTAACATACACCCTTTGTATCAAATCACTTTAACTAATTGAAACGTTTATTATTTATGCAAATTAAAAAGTAAAATTGGTCAACTGATTAATTTTTTCGTTTCCAAACAATTACATGCACAGTATTTGCAAAAACCCTCAGTAAGTGAACGACATACCGCTCTAAGAAAACCACGATTTTTACAAAAGATTGAAAAACCTATGCCACGTCCAATAACGTCAGATTATATAACAATAAAAAGTGTAAGTTTAGTTTAAAGCACTTTTTTGTTGTTTTTTTCATTATTGCTAACTGAGGTAGTGGTCGATTGGAATAAAGGTAAGAGCGAGTATCAGTAATACAAAATCTTTCACTCTTGACGTAGGCCATGTAAAGATGCTTAGATCCTTTTGTTGAGATACACGCGATGTTCGTAATAAATGGTAAGGGAAGCCAATATGACATACCCAAAAATTTATCACATTTTCTGCCGAATCTTCAGTCCCTTTATTGTCTCATCCTCTTTATTGTGCGAATTAATTTCCTGTTTTCAAACCATATTCTTTATGTTTGATCAGTCTTACAATCATAGACATTTGTATTCCTTCAACCTCTGTTAAATATCTTGTCAATTTCATTTTATTATACTGAAACGAATTGTATCAACCTGAGTATTGCTAAGTGATCATACTTTTTTTTCTGACAAAGTTAACTGCGTATTACTTACCTTCCCGAAATGCTCAAGATATTGATTTCAACTCAACTTGTGATTGTAATATCCCTCATTCTAAAAACATATAATGCATGTTTCATTATCAAAGATTCACCGCTCCTTGGGCTAAAATACTCATGAGCGAATATCCTAGCTTCATTGTCAAGGTTTTTGTTGGTCCAAATTAACAGGAAAGTAAAGTAGGAGTATGCTTCATGTACACTAACAAGGTGAATGTATGTAAGTGACTTGTGTCGATGTTCGTGGTCTACTTGAGTTGGATGGAAATAGTGTAGCCTCCTAGCTTACGTCAAAGTCATGCCTCGTGGTCGGTACCTAATCTAGCTTATCCAATCGGGATAACCAGGTGAGTTCCTTTCTTGGTGAATGTCTAGAGTAAGATCCTATTTTAACGGCGGCAGATTAGAGAAGTGTAAAGTGGGGTCACTGCTGCATGGGCTAGTCGCGCTAGTAGTCCTTGACCTCAACGATATTCAATAAACCGTTGGACGTTTAGTGATCCCTGATCTAACGTAGAAACTGTTCTACTTGATGGATGCTTCAGCTAGAGGTCACTAACCTTACAAATAGCCCAGGCCTTGCCATCGTCGTTGTTTCGTTGATCAGCACGTAGTTTGTTCAATCTTCGGTTATTGTATTTGTTCATGACAGTTTTCTCGAGACTTATAGAATTGTTTTGTTGCTACCTAATCATTTCTTTTGTCGGGTCAATTAAATTCGCACTGTTTAGGTATATACGATGTTCTTTGATCGGTCTTCGAATTCCACTTTTAATTAAAGGCATTTTTCCAAACTTTTATTATTAATAAGGTTTCATCTGATGAGCTCTGCAATTTTCGACATTTTTCATAGTTTTTCTTACTAATTTAAATATACACTCATTCATTCGTTTTTTACTGATTTGTCTGTTTCAAGTAATAAAAGTTATACATCGTGATTTATCTAAAATAATGTATTCTATAAACCTATTATCCTACATATCGAATTGTGTAACATTATTCGCTACTTGACACTGTTGTTTATGGTTTAATGTTAGATTCGATAGTGAATTCTTCCAGTTGGAAATAGGAATGTTATTTTAACATTTCAAACGTTTCAGTAGGTAACCTGTCGAGAAAGTTTTTCAAATAAATCCTAATGTTTAATAATCAAACTACTTGCGGTAGCTGTACGTAATATATTCAAATACTAAGCATAAGTGATAACTGGAAACAAACTTAAATCATATGCGATACCACCTTGTGATCAAAAGCTTTATTGATTTGTCCATCAGGCTGCAGAACATTGACTAAGTTGTCATAATGTTAAGACTGAAATATTATTTCGTTAGTAAACCGAATACACTCATTAAGATATTAAATAAGAAAGATTAGTTCAGCGAAGAGTTCTCTTTTCGGCGAATTCATTTTCAAAGCTGTACAATCGCAAATATATATACTTATTTTTACAGGATGATAATAATACTGATAATAAACTTCTGTTAGAAATGGTGACAGTGAGGTTAAATAAGCAAATGTATTTTAAAAAAATTTTAAATAAGGAGAATTTAATACCAAAATGGTTGCAAAATCAGATGAATTCCAATGGTGAAATAAGACCACAGGATAGACAGACATCATCATCCATTGCGAAACATTTGATTGAGGCGGGTCATAAGGTTGATATCAAATCAGGATTTGTTGTGTTGTACAAAAGCCTTCAAGGACGTATACTAAGGTTTATTGAAGCCTTGGCTATACGAAAATTGAAACCCCCTTTATGTGTTCAAAAACAATTTGTACTTACACTTAACCTACCCTGGTAGTACTGATTTACTGTCCAGAGTGGTAATCACATTTGTTTTTGTGTACTTTAATATTTTTCCTTTGTTATGACTTACCCTTAACCTGTCTAGTTGACCTTTTAATTTTTCATATATAAATGTTCTTAACAAGTATATGTGTGATCAGATTGTTCGAAATGTATTGCGCAAATATATCACATAATTCTGATAAACTTCGTCTTCTCATTGCATTATCGAAATTTATGAAAGGGACTAATTGTGATTAGATGGTGGTTGGAGGTAGTCAACAGGAAACCCTGGACCCGGGTTTCGTGCTACTTGGCACTCGTCAGCAAGGTGTACCTGTAATCTTGAGGGAACTGGTGCTCCCTGGCGGATTCGATCTCGTGTCACCCAGCTTCACAGTCAGAGACGTTACCACTGAGCTATCCGAGCCGTGACTAACCTCCTGTAGGACTGAGATGTAATCACAATTGATTGATCACTGGGTGGTGATCAATCTCATGCTTGTCTAGTCCTTATTAGTGCAGATCGAATGCTATCGATCATGTTGCAATGTGGCCACCAGTCTAGGTGACTCGGCACTGCGGGCACTATGTATTGAGATTAGACGGTGGTTGGAGGTAGTCAACAGGAAACCCTGGACCCGGGTTTCGTGCTACTTGGCACTCGTCAGCAAGGTGTACCTGCAATCTTGAGGGAACTGATGCTCCCTGGCGGATTCGATCTCGTGTCACCCAGCTTCACATTCAGAGACGTTACCACTGAGCTATCCGAGCCGTGACTAACCTCCTGTAGGACTGAGATGTAATCACAATTGATTGATCACTGGGGTGGTGATCAATGTCATGCTTGTCTAGTCCTTATTAGTTCAGATTGATAGCATGACATTGATCACCACCCAGTGATCAATCAATTGTGACTATTTACATGTTGCAACCACCATCTAATCTCAATACATAGTGCCCGCAGTGCCGAGTCACCTAGACTGGTGGCCACATTGCAACATGATCGATAGCATTCGATCTGCACTAATAAGGACTAGACAAGCATGAGATTGATCACCACCCAGTGATCAATCAATTGTGAGGGACTAATTGTTTTAAATTTAATAGTTGTTTGATGGCTTAAGTATTCATCAAAAGATAGATAGGGAAATTATCATTGGGATGGCTCAGCATGACAAGATAAAGTGTTGAAATTCAGATTAAATGTAATCAGAATGATTGTGGAAACAAATAATTGAGACGGGGCACAAAATTAACATTAATACAGCATTTAGAACGTTGTATAGAAAAATAAACTAGTTGGGGGTAGAAGATTTAAGGGGAAGATGGAAGATGAAGCACATGACTGTAAAGGAAGAAGAGTATGAAAAAGAGAAAAAAATCGTAAGACATTGAGACCATGGTACAAGAAGAGATTATACCAGTCTCTATTGCACACACAACTCTGACTTTTCCAGGAATATGGTTAATGCTTCGGAAATGCAAAGAAGATGTAGTCTGATTGTATTTGAAAGACTTCTACTTACCTTGTAGATGAGTTTAAACGTAGAGTCTGTCTTGATTGAATGACCTGTGTTCACAAGCTGTTCGAATATTGAACTTCTTATTCATAAGAAAATTCTGTACGTAACTCCAAATACGTAGTCTTGTAAGGAAAGCTATAAATTCTCTTCGGAATTGACTTCATACTAAGTTTATGTTATGATAATGGAGTAAATGCCGTTTTAAGTCTTTAAACCGCTGCTCTTCTGACCAAAATTCCGCGTTACTGTAGTTTGTGATAGCTCTTGAGTTACTAATTTGAGTGTACATTGTAGCGAATATTGATAATTACTAATAAATTTATACATGTATGAATGAATTGCATATTGTTTTATTCATTAAATCAAATCGAAAGTAACTGAGGATGCAGAATTCTTTTAAAACTAGCAATTATAGTTTCAATTTTCAAAGTCATAAATAGAGTAAGTTTCTACAAAACCAGTATAAGAAAAACTCTGCCTGTAGCTATTCTAAGGTTACTGCCAGTTCCAAGCCCAGGTAGCGGAGGAGGTTTGGGCATAAAGTCAGCAATCCCATCCCGTAGAAAACAACCTTAATAAAAAACGCTAAGCAAATTAAACAATCTAAACTCTGTCCTGGAAGTTGAAGGGTCTTTATTCAGAAGAATTATGATGTCTCGTTGTGAAAGCCGAGATTCTTCGGAAGTCACAAAGCCAATGCCCCTTCTAACAACCAAGGGAACAACTAATATAGGTATCGCCATGTTGCAACTCTTCATTCCCGTAGCTATTTGACTGGTCCTCCCACATTGTCCCATTAGATCAATGCTGGACAGAAAAGGTTGGATTTGAGAGAAATGCTGCTGTACACAGGTTATGAAAAATAAAGTGCTCCTCACACTCAGGAAGTTGCTCTGATGCTGTCCAAAGAAGCACGTAAAGCATTTGTAGGATTTGAATCTCATGGATCCAGAATCATCAAGGCGTCCCTCAAAACAAAGAAGGAGGGAATCACAATGCATGTTACCTAGTGTTGTGCACCCACCAATGATAGAAACGACAAAGATAACGATCAGTTTTACGAGAGGCTGCAATCGGTCGTAGCGAAGTACTCAGGAAAGGAACTGAGCATACCGATAGGAGACCTAAACGCCAAAGTCGAAATGGACAACACCGGGTATAGTTACATAGTGGAACGACATGGACTGGGAGAAAGAGACGAAGACGGTAAGAGATTCGCGAATCTATGTGCATTCAACAATACAACCTTCCCTCGACATACTGAAAAACTCAACGAATTACGAATGGATCTCGGCAACACGTTCGAAGCCTCAAAGAAGAAGAAACTACTATGGAGGACAACTAGAAAGCGATCGAAAAAGCACGAACTTCAACGTGTCAGGAGTTTCTGTTGAATAGTCAATTAAGTGGAACTCGTCACTACACATCAACTTCCTTGACTATGACAAGGCGTTTGACAATATGGATAGGAGAACATCATAGAACTTTGTTCGACACTATGGTGTAACTGAGATCACCAACGTCATCCGGAATTCACAAGACGGCCCGCACTGCAAAGTCGTGCATGGAGGACAGCTGACACACGTATTCCGTGTGAGGACCAGAGTCAGACAAGGCTGCTTACTCTACCCCTTCCTCTTTCTTCTGGTGGTCGACTGGATTATGAAGACCTCCACATCTGAGGGGAAGCACGGAATACAATGGACAGCTCGGAATCAATTAGAAGATTTGGACTTCGCACACGACCTACCCCTTCTATCTCATACACACGAACAAATACAGATGAAGACAACTAGTATGGCTGCAGCCTCTGAATCAGTAGGTCTCAACATACACAAGAGAAGAAGCATGATCCTTAAATGAAACACGGAGAACGCCAACTCAATCACACTTGATGGGGAAGCTCTGGAAGAGGTGGAAACTTCACATACCTGGGAAGCTTCATCAGTGAACAAGGAGGATCCGATGAAGACGTAAAGGCAAGGATTGGCAAAGTAACGAACGCATCCCTATAATGGAAGAACATGTGGGACTCAAGACAACTGTCAGCCAATATCAAAATCAGAATCTTCAATACGAACGTCAAGACAGTCCAACTAAACGAAGCTGAAACTTGGAGAACTACTACAGCCATCATCAAGAAAGCACAAGTACTTATAGTCACTTGTCTACGCAAGTTAGTCAATGTCCGTTGGCTGGATAACATCAGCAACGACCTACTGTGGGAAAGAACAAACCAGCTTCCAGTTGAAGAGGAAATCAAGAAAACACACTGAAAGTGGATAGGTCATACATTGTAGAAGTCACCAAACTGGATCGCGAAGCAAGCGCTAACTTGGAATCATGAAGGGAAACGGAAAAGAGGAAGGCCAAAGAAAAGCTGCACGGAAAATTGGAAAGAGACATGAAAAGGATGAATAGCAACTGGAAACAACTGAAAAGTATTGTCCTGGACAGAGTTCAATGAAGAATGTTGTTGGGCGACTTATATTCCTCCTTGAAGTGTAACAACGCAGTTAAAGTATGTATATAAAAATATGCGAAAAGTTAATGTTTTAACGCTAATTCGCACAATGTCCCTTGACGCTTGTTATTTTCTAGCGCAGAAGTTTAACTCTTTCACGAGATTCAATCATGTAAAGTTAGATCTTTTGGATAATATGATGCAGTTGAGTCGCTGAATCTGTTTACAGAAGTCAAGTTTTAATGTAACTTTTCAAAATATTCAACATCTAGTGTTCCAAGTTTTTTAAGTTCAATTAACTTGTGATGAAACATGTGATTCTAATTTCAATTAACTGTAATTTTGAAAGAATCATTTTCGATATACATTGTAATTATTTTATTTTAAGACTAATTCAACTGTTTATTTGTTGAATTCAGGAAGAATCTGAAAGACAAGAAGTAGCTGTAATTATGTTGCAACAATTAATTCGCGGGCGTGCAATTCAGACTCAAATGTATGAGGGTAAACGAAAACGTAGTGAATTAATTGCTGAGTCAAGGTCAACGCATGCTCTGTTAGAAGATGAACAAGCTCAAAAAAAACGTGAAAAATTAACAATTTTAGCAAAACAAGAAGATTTCAGTCATCTTTTGCATCAAGTAAATCATTTTATTTAAATTCATCATCGTTATATTGATGTGATTAGAATGCATTAATCCATCATTTCTACCATACCATTTCATTGCACAGTTGATTATCTAAAAACACGCGTTCTACAGTGAATTGTTCTTTGAATGACCTTAAATCTTATTTCCGTACTTTTCTCGTATGGTGAACAACAACTCGGTGGACTCTAGTGCGAATGACACATAAGGTTGACATGTAATCACATTATCATATGACTTAGTCCATTAATTAAATCTATTAGTTATAGATGCTTATTTGTATGATAGGGTAAATATTTGTTCACAAAGTAATTTACCGAATAATTCGTGTTAAACACCACTGAATGCAAACTATACAAATCTGACTGGATCAGTCACATATAATGTGATGTATTCATAAGTCATTTTGATCTTTTTTCTCGGTCAAATAAATCCATACCAGCAGTCTTTGTGTTTTCACTGCACATCACTAGATTTACGGTTTTCAGCACCAAGCACAAATCAGTTAACCATTCATTGGAACAAAAATGCTGAGGTTAGTGTTCCTTTAAATCTGCTTTTCAAGTGACTATTATGTGTTGTTCTCCAAAAATCATAATATGTTTTCACTGATCCCACGCTTGACTTACGTTTCAAGAAAGGTGTTTAATTTATTTACAAAATATATCAGAAATATTCACTTTATATAGTTACCACATACAAAAAGTGTTTTCTACAGTGTGACTGTTATGTACAACGAAATGACAATTTTATGATGAAGCGAATCGGAAAAAACCACTTAATCATCAAAAAAAGTAATATTAAAGCAGACAGCAAAAAAAGCCAGAATCAGTCTCGTCCCGTTTGTAGAGAATACAATGGGGACTTATAGCAATGTCGTCACTGTTTTCAATTTCTAGTCATGTCAGATGATTTTTAATACCGCAAAGTTTTAAAATCCAAGGGGTTGTGACGTGCCCATTAGACGCTAAAAATCTCTCACAGTGATATTTCGAATGGTTCAACTCTTCGTTATTTCTATTTAACCCCATCATCATAAGATGAAGCTTGTCATAAAAACCAATAAGACAACTTTTAAAGACATCAGTGAACTTCTGAATTCGACTTTTCAAGGTTTTATCTGTTATAAAATGATGGTTTACACTGTTTGAATACAAGATATCAGGTCTCATCATTACTCACATTTTGTAACCACTAAACCCATGTTATCCTTATTGATCAACAAGTTAACGAAAAGATTAAATTAGTCGTAATCTTTACTGTCTGTCTATCATGACTTAATTAAATTTAGGAATGCACAGCATCAAATGTCATCTCTGTGATCAACAGCTCGCTTCGACCTCTAAAGTCCCCCTGGGTTTGGTCATTAGCAGGGTAGTGAATATGCAATACCAAGAAATTCCTTACTAAATAGAAATGGCCGTCCAATGCTTCCTCATTTTTAGTAACTATTAGCTAACTTCACCTCACTAAGGGAGCTATGTAAATTCATATTTAAAAATATCAATTAAAACCAACCGAATGTGAGTAATGACTAGATTTTTTATGTAATCAAGTGAATTTCTTACATAAGACGTTTTCGGCCATCTGTCTGAGTGTAACTTATTTATATTGATTTAAAACTGAGGTGTTATATATGACAAACTACTAACGATCAATACATATATTATTTACCTTTTATTAAAAGGAGCGTCTAGTAGAAAATATCTTAGGACAGTTTGAATGTGATAGTTTAGCTAATATGTTAGATTTTCTAAGTAAAGAATTGGATCGTCTAATCGAAGAGCGACGTATACATGCATTAGTACTAATAGCAGAACGTCAACGTCGTATACGAGAAGCGGAAGAATGTGGTACACGTCAAAAAGAAGAGCGCAGAAGGAGAGAACAAGATGAAATTTTCAAACAGGTAAACGATTTTAACTAGATTTTAAGTAACCCTGATTTTTGTCATTCATGATGTAGCCAGTTTATTTATCCACTTATTATAGGTAAAATCAACCTATTATGCAGACCATTGAATCGTTTAATACGGTTTATAGTTAGATGTTTTACCTCATTAATTCACATAGTATTATGACAATTTTAACTTCTTTGAATTCTGTCTAACCAGAACTCGAGAGAAGAACGTTGTTCTCATAAATTTGTAGCGTAGTGAAACATGGTTGACTAAAGATTGTACAGTTGAGCGATTTACACAAAACTATTTCTTTAATAGATAATACTGAATTTTTTTTAGATAAAAACCAAGTATTTATGAGCTCTTTAAACAGTTTAAAACATAAAAATATCTGGTAAAATGTGAATACTTTAAAGCTTCGTAAGTGCTATTTAACTTATCATAGTATCAAATTCTCTGAAGCTATTTACAATCAATTCCGTTACATAATAACTGATATATGCAGCATCTAAACCTCTAACTAGAATCATCCAGAATCCTCCTCCTTCACAATAGGTAATAAGTATTTTATACTGTATATACGGTTTCTCTCAAAATATGTTCTCAAACTGTCGTCTGAACCATTTATTCTGTTTACAAATTCAAATTTTAAGTAACGGTAAAAAGCTAAAAAATGAAACACAGCTCTTTATCCTATTTGGCGCTTTTAACTAACTATTGTCCATGTCCCCATACTTCATATCAGTACATCCAAATAAGGTAAATAATAAGTTAACGAAGTAATGCAATGAAAAGGTAGTGGAAAATGAGAGAAAATGACTTATATTTTGAAAATAGTGAATGAAATTGAGTAGTGAGAACTGCGGAACAATACAAATGAAGATTTTGACCATGTAAATGAGTGGATAAATTTTCCACTTAATGTCTGCATTCATAGATTACGGCAACTTTGAGAACTGCAACCAGAAAACTGAATCTTCTCACACGGCTAAGTATAACGTTCGGAGACTGAATGATATTGATTTAGCCACTATTTTAGGTTATCTAGAACAAAACGACAAGTTAGATGAAAAAACGCTCGGTTTTTTCCTTTACACAAATGGAACGTTAATTTACCTTAGTCGAATATCTACACTAGATACCCTCCTAGTGTATATTCTACAGGACATCAATACAACTCGGATCAAGAACATGTGATTGGAATGACTAGAACATAAGTATATTACCACACCAACAACCGATAATAATAATAATAATAATAATAATAATAATAATAATAATAATAATAATAATAATAAAGGGTGGAAAAATATGTCACTCATCTAATATCAGTCAGATTATTTACTAATCTCACTAGGTAAACAACCAGACATGAGTTACATGTTCAAACTATCTTCAATGATAAAGGATCATAACTTCAGTTACCAATTTATCATTTCTACTTAGACTTATTGATTTACTTTAGTAATGCTGGGGAGACATATGGAATAGTAAGTTCATCCACTCTATAAAGTTTACTATTTGAGCCCTATCGATCGAGACAGGCAATCCCACCATTAAATTAAATGGTAAAACAAAACTATACCTGGTTGTTATATATCTTAAGACATTGTTATATCCTAGCGAAGAATTAATTACGAGTAACTTATTCCTGTTGTATAACTATTCAGTAACTAGATTATGTATATCTATATTCCTCTGATTATAAGCTTCATTTAGACCTATAGATTATCATCATACGATTTACTATTCTTAAGTTATGTCCAGTTTATTGATTATTGAAGCTTATAATAAGAAGAATATAGATATACATAATCTAGTTACTGAATAGTTATCCAATAGGGATATATATATAATATTAACCAATTAATAGTTCTCAGAATTTACCAGTAATTTATTCTTCGCTAGGATACAACACATATCATGAAGTTTACACTAATTTACCTTCCCTAGAAAATTTAAATACATTTCCGTAACAGTCATATTTTAAAGAACTTGTGTATTTTGTAACTGAACTTTAATCCACCAAGTTATCACTTTTCAGGTATTTTCAATACATCATTAGTTAACGTTTTTTTACTATTTAGCTTGTTAAGGTACACGAAGATACAGTTGATAGTTATCTGATAAATATTGCTGGCTTAGCTGTAAATAGTGCAGCTGATTACTTAGCTAAGGAAGAAATTTCGACATTAGCTCAAAAAATTGAACAAGCTAATCTCTATGAATTAAATCGTGGTGAATTAGAAACAAATGAATTAGCTGCTGAATTAATACATAATTTCTTAATACCGTTTGTAAGTTGTATGATATTAACTGTTTTGAAAAAAAATGTTTGTCTTTCTTTAAATGATAGTTTTTTTTTGTTGGCTGGCATCAAATGGAAAATCACTAAAACCAGGAAGCATTGGCAGTGATTCTCATTTTTTTAGACCCGTCAACATTACCCAGTCATTACCCCGCCCCCTCACATGAGATTGAACCCAAAACATTAGGATCTCTTAGCATACATAATGCCTTAAAACCACTCAGTCACTGGTTCACATGTCAGACTCTATTCAGTCAACAATAAAGTTGAGATTGTAAACCGTTAAAGGTCGATTCAGGAATCTTATAGCAATAGGTTTGTTAGAAAATCTGAAGTTTTTAAGTTAAACTTCACAGCTGGTATTAGTTCACCGGTTGATGTCATTTCATAATGAAGATTATTTTTAGAAATTAATTAATCTCCATAAACGCAGCTGAACAAAAATGTTTTTATTGTAAAGATTTTGTGGAAACCTGTCTAATTTGTTGGTGATCTTCTTCAAAGATTGACGATAGTTGAATGTAATCATAAACTTAATATTTTTATACTTCAAGATGAGTTTTTGAACTTCTGGTGAAAAATCATAATCACTGAACTTGAGCTATTTCATACATAAGACTGTCTTCACTATTGGCTGTAGATGGATGACATGGTGTGATTCGAATTGCGTGAAATCGGAATTTAATGTTTATTTGATGATAAACTAATGGTCCGCTGGTTACGTACTCTCAAGGAACCCCGAAGATCTCAGGCCCTATCTCTGGTGTAGTCTGATCATCACTGATGAGGAATCTCATGCTAGAAAAGAACAATGCTCCTGTTTTGAATGCTATCTTCAACTGATTTTCTGTTTATACCTAAATAAATAATTACGAAAACAAGATTCTACTTAAGGTAGCTTGAAAAAGATGAATTCTTTATTCATGAACTGATATCAACTGAAGAGTTGTTAGAAATTAGTCTGTATTGAGAACTATCTAATATTATTGATCTCAGCACTCTGTCTCACAAAGGAGGCCTACAGCATCACTTACTTACTCACTCCTGTTGCCTTTCGTGAAGCAGCATAGGTCGCCCATCAGCGTTCTCCATCCAACTCTGTCCTGGGCAATCACGGGGACCATTTGATGTTTTTACTTCACATGATTGAGAATCAGTGTCAGCGCTCTAATTTCCGTAAATTTGTAACATACAGCAAAAAACCTCATACTAGAATCGATGGAAATTCGTCTCCACACTTAATTTTGTTGACTCTACAAGTTAATTTTTATTATCACTTTCAGAATAAGTACATAAAATTCTCTAGTTGTCAATACCAAGATTGAACTTGATAGTCTAAAGTAAATTGAGCATTAGGTAGGAAGTTATTAAGGATAAAATAATTATACTAAAAACGCAATAGATCTCTTTTTAGCGAATTTATTATCAAGCTGTACAATCGTTTATCTGTATGAAGTTTTTTGTTAAAGTGTTATGTCCCGATAAGCATAGTGAATGGTAACTTTCGCGATCCATTTATGGATCAATACTATGCGTATATTTTTATCGTATAATTGTTAAATAACTAAACTGTTCATATTCATTTCCCTCTTATTATAAGCTTTATTTTAACGTACGAACTATTATTATACGATTTACCATTCTTGAATTATGCCCTGGCCATTAATTACTACCTCCCACATTCACAGCCACATTTGGCCAAATCTTGTATAAATGTTGTTTCCTATTTTATTGGTACGATGTGGTCTGTCTGGTTGCTAAATAAACCGAGTATGTTTGAAATAAATGATTCATATTGCAGAGGCTGAGATTGGTGTTCTGGACATAACTGGGTGGGCTAGGCAGTAAGCAGGACCGATAAGTACTCTAGACCGCTCGTACGTGTTTTATGCGCATGTGTCACTGGTCCGATCGATAATTCACTGCTCCATAATTGGCGGTCAGTGGTATAACACAAAGTATTATTTCCGTGAGGGCAAATGAACAATGAATAAACATGATGATGTAATAAATAGATTGCGTAATATGAATAATAACAATTACCGATTGTGTGTACAAATAGGAAAACCTTGTAAAATTCATAAGTTAGCAACGGATGATAATGTGGATGATGTAAGTTGATTAAAATATCCAGTTCTTCCAGGCTTTCAATGATGTTGTAGCTTAAATCGTTCTACCTTTTTGTGCGAAATGTAGAGCTCCCTATTCTTCTTTGGAAACATTTAATGGGAAGCATTAGTGTTTTGGCAAAATTCGAGATGATTTTTAACGTAATGTGTGTGACTAATTTTCTGGTATCTTTTGGAATACCAGTTCAGGAATTGGAGCAATTTCTAGAGTATTGAAAGATCTTCTATGTAAATCAAAATGTGATCCTGTTTCTAGTAGACCTATTTCACGAGTACTAATAGGTCTGTTTGAAAGATTACGAACCACCCTCAGATCATGAGAAGTAGATTTCGTCAGTAATTTTGACTGAATTAGATATTCTAATTTGTTTTCTCTATACTACTTAGACTTGTGTTAATTGATTTACATTATTTATCCATTTACTCTGAATCAGTGAATTAGATTAAGTCACGGAACGTCAGAAATGCGAATTTCTACCCATTGGGATATCACAAAAATATAATTATTTTATCATTATAAAAGTTTCTGTTTTGACAATATAACATGAACGAAAGAATCGATCATTACTAAGCTGTATAAAATAGAAATCGGTAGATTTAACTATTACTGAAATCATGAACTGATCTCATTTGGTCAATCGATGTAAATTTAAAATCATGGAACGGCCGTTTCGTCATAGTACTGAACTCAGCAGTGCACGTCTACGACCTCGCACGTGGGAGTCGAACGAAAGACCTTCAGTCTCGCGCGCGAACACTTAACCTCCAAACCACCGAGCAAAAATTCAGTGGTGTATCGGTCTAACTTCAATCAAGCCACGGTATTGCACGACTATCCAATGCTTTCAGGTTTTCAATCCTTGTCTAACTTAGGTCTGTCTGTGATTTCAATGATACTCAATAACCTTCATAAAACCGTGCTGAAGATTTATCTTTGTACGTCGTATAAATCAATATATGAATTATATGTATTCAGTAATTTTTGGCTATATTGTGCAAAATGAACACTTACTCATCCGACATTGTCGTTTATTCATGACATGTCGATTTCTCTCTCTTTATTACACATGGATAATCGTTTGAAGACTTTTAATAAAAATAATTTAGATCCCTAATAAACAATCACGAACTATCTCGAATTTACATATATCTGTTATTGTCATGAGAATTTATTACCGGACGAATTAAACTCTACAACCTAGCTTGTTGGACAGAAATTATTGAAGTTTAAGTGTAGTTCACTGCAAGTGTCCTATCGATAAATATTTCTTCCCAACCTACCATTTGTATCTCGTTTCATTCCAAGGTCTACAAACTGAAGCATCTTGTCATGTTCATGTTCCACTGTAAATCGGGTAATTGCGTGTGGCGTATCGATAGGTTTCAGTATTTGAGGAGCATGTTGATAATCATCACAGGCCACAAATGCACATTCAATTTACGTGACGTACAATGTTTTGTCATTGATTACTGATTTCGTTGCCGTCTTTCATAGGTTTTCCGTACCTCAGTGGGCTACCCATAACAACTCTATTAATACGAAAATATCAGACATTATTGAATCAAAAGTGGTTATCTTTGGTGAATATTTATAGAAGCTACCTAAATTCATCTTCTGTTAGGAGGTTAAGTCAGAGTAATGACATGTTATTTGCATGGGTTATTCTATCGAGATGCTAGTAAATAACAGTGATAAATAAAATAAAGCCATGAATTTATCGAAGATTTCAATATTTTCTAGTCATTGAATAAATTATAAAGTGTCTATCAAGCTTTGAACAGATAAATTTAAACGAATCAGTCCTAAATAATGGGCTAATCAGTGGGTGAGATTGTGAAATGAATTGATAATAGTGGTCAGAAAAAAAATTAGGTTTATGTATTTTTGGTATGGATTTTGTGAGTGTATCTTGGGATATGGAATTTAAATAAAAACAAAAGTATTCTCTCAATTCTATTCAAGTTAAAACTTCATAAGTTGCAGATAAATTTCCCCGGAATGTCTACACGTAGTTGGTCTTGAAAAAGGACTTTTGATAATATCTTTTCACTTTCTATAAACTTTTGACGCAACCTCTCGGAGGAAATAGTAAAATTCACCGCACAATATTGACTTCTTCAACGACTTGATTTGGATCAGAAGCTCTGGTTCTTAGTTTACATACTAGGTCTGTTGCAGCTTCAACATAAGATTTTTCATTGGTGGAGGTAATGCTCATCAGCTCAAAGTTCCCATTTTCTAACACTGACATCTGGTATAGTTTTTCCTTATTTACTGCTCTTTTCATTATTCTTTTATATAGTACCTACAATGATTTTTAATGTATAATTCTATTGTGTTTAGGCTATAAGCAGCTAATAAAAAAACTGTGAACTATTATTAATTTATGTTATTCTGTTACGTTAGTTATCCTTCCTTTAATGAGATTCGGAAAAATGTATCGATAATTATTTATAAATGCTTCTAGGTAAACAAAAGTTCACATGAGTTACATGAGGAACGACGGAAACGCAAATATTTAAATGGTGCACATCGTGAAATATGGGGCCCATCACACGATGCTTCTGGAAATGTATCCGACTCAACTGGTCTACAATTAAAACATCATGATACAACAACCTCGACACCAAATGTCTGGTGGTGAAATAAGCAGAACAGTCAGTTATGCCAAATGCAAATACCATGGATAGAAAAAGAAAGGAAATTAGACACACCGACTAATAACCTGGAAGTACGCTACAGTGACAACAATAGTGATGATAATAATAATGTACGACAATTTTATTTAATCCTTAACGATTATTGTTTTCACTTAATTCTTTGGTCATAAGGAGAAATTTACCAAGCATTCAATTAATAAAACGTATATTTTCGTTCATGTAGCCATATATGATACACTCACCCTGTCAATATTATCTAAACTAGGAATATTTTGTTAAATTTAATGTGACTTTTGAGTCTATATTTATTACTTTTGGGCATTTTTAGTTCTTAGTAGTCAGACATCACGATGATTTCGAGAAATATTTTCATTTTGACAGATTTTTTGTAAAATTTAATAAAACGAACGTAGACAAATTATCTAATCGAATTGTTAAGATAAGCAGATTGCGTAATAATACAATTGTTAATTGAGAAGTTTTTCAAAAACACAAGAGTAACTAAATAAAAGCCTCTGGTAAATTAAGAGGCTGTACAAACATTTCGATACACAAAGACTAAGGTTATTATTGTATACACCTATGTTTTCTACTGTATGTAAAAGACACATTATGGGAGCATAGGGTAAGTTTAACGGACTTCTATAAATAAGTGTGGCATCTAAACTTACCGACTTTGACTTAATATCCCAAAACAGAGCTTCTTACTTTTTTCTCCTTCTCCCTCGACTAAGCAAGAGTCACCTCTAGAAATATGATAATATATTTACTTGATTGTACATAAAATACAACTTCCTCCACAAGAGCAGTTGGATCATTAAATAGATGTTATTCCTACAACCTACATTCACAGCCACATTTGGCCAAATCTTGTATAAATGTTGTTTCCTATTTTATTGGTACGATGTGGTCTGTCTGGTTGCTAAATAAACCGAGTATGTTTGAAATAAATGATTCATATTGCAGAGACTGAGATTGGTGTTCTGGACATAACTGGGTGGGCTAGGCAGTAAGCAGGACCGATAAGTACTCTAGACCGCTCGTACGTGTTTTATACGCATGCGTCACTGGTCCGATCGATAATTCACTGCTCTTTAATTGGCGATATCGTTACGTTATATATTAACAGGGCACACAGGCTACAATTTATAAGAGAAATCCTTTTATTATTTTATCATAGATTTGTTCACTGAATTGACGGTCTGTTGTAGAAAAGCGAGATGAACAAACTTACGTAAGGGATATTGAGTAACAATACTATAAACCAATTATTACAACAGGATTGTATCATTATAAATATCAAGAGACGAATCATACAAGTAATCGGTATTTATTATAGCATTTCATACTAGCTTTCATCAAATTCCATACCATTTAATCTCACGTCGTACTATCCGAAACATTAATAGACGCTTCTGACGTAGTGTTGATTTCCTATGGTAGTCGTTAACCAATGTACAATCATTCAAGAAATATATGCTTTCAAGTCCTTGAAAATCATGAACATCATTATTTCGACTTAGTTACATCCTCAAATATCTGTTTTTACAGCAGTAATAAATTCTAAGTAACGGTTTTATAATGACAAAGACTTCATCTTTAATTTACTAGTACAATAGTCATTCATAGTGTTAGTAAACTTCTTGCCTACTCAAGGCAAATATATAGACAATTTTAAGTATTCTTACTTACGCCTGTTACTCCCAATGGAGCGTAGGCTACCGACTAGCATTCTCCAACCCACTCTGTCCTGGGCCTTTATTTAATGCATAATTTAAAGACAATTAAGACACAATTGTAAGTTTCTAATATGTATACAAAAAAGAAACGTAGAAAAATGCAAACACTATTTTAAGAAGGTAAAAAACGACAATGATAACAATAGCTATATAAAAAAGTAAAGACCCAATTGATCAAACTCTTTCAACCATGCCTGTCTGTTTGTTTCCTTTCATAGTTGATCTGTGATTATTATTATTATTATTATTATTATTATTATTATTATTATTATTATTATTTTATTAATATTATAAGCAGAAGAAAAACAAAACATGAATAAATTGGAATATTTCAACAAAATAAGTGAATAAAAATACAACAGAATTTTATTTATTCATCGTAATGTACTGTAATATCACGAAAAGAACAAATTTATATTCACCATAATAAATGCATAAACAGAAATATGAAATGCATTTTATGAAGTGATTCTGAGGGATAAAAGGTAATAATATCTAGAAAAATTACCAGTAAACCAATATCAGTAATCTTCATCATATCAATAAATATACACACAAAGAGATAAGAGTTCATGACATTGCAATGATTAACATATCCAAATGTATTACTGTAAAGCAAATAAAGCACAGAAGAATTTCAGTTAGCTACATTAACCAGTAAGAGATCATCAGAACAAAAAGTTACTTCAGAACAACAGCTCAGGACTATCAATAAATAAATAAAATCATTAGGTAATTGCATATAGTTGGGAGGATGTCCTACGATTAAGTTTTGCGGTAGTCAACACTGGTCAGCAAGGTGATTTACAGTCTTGATGGAATTGATGCTCCTCGTCGGACTCAAGCTTGCTCCTAACTGTCTCTATTAATCTGCCATCAACTGAGGTTTGTTGTAATGTGGTGTTACTTACAGACTAACGGTTACATCAAAACTAATTTGTCACTATATAGAGATAAATCTGTGATAAGTTATTGATCTTTATAAATCTAATCAACTGCAGAGACACTGTTAAAAATAAGATTGCTAATGACAATTGTGAAGACCTAATAATTTTCGTTATTAATATTCATTACAAATAATGTTATAACCCTATGTCGTTAACAGTAACTTTGTAAATGTATTGGTGAATAACCTTTAAAAGTGGTACTTATCCTGATGACTGCCACCAATTACCCATCATAATCCCACAAATGAAAATGTAGAAAACATCTAGAATATGCTAATGAGAAAGTTGATTGTATACGCCATTATTGGGTAATAAATATCTGGTGAATGTTTTTAAAAGTAAAATATGCCTATTTTTTACATGAATGTTCAGATCAAACTCTGATGCTCGACCTCAGAGCTAAAAAAAAACACACACCTTCATAAAGGAATCAAACTAAAAAACTAATTATATATGTTAAAATATTTAACACCATTTACCACTCGTTAACACTTCAGATTTGAAAATTGAGACGAACAGTATTTCTCCATAAATTTTAACGTAATTTCAAATATGAATACTCTTATCATGTTTGATTGCTAAATTTTATGAACACCCTACTATTGGTTTTAAGTGAGACATAAAAGTACCAAAAACTGAAATTAACGACAAAACCAGCGAGATGTTAAATAAATAAACTAACTTTTAACTTAAAAGATTAATGAAATTCAATTATGTCTAGTGTAGGGTTAACAGTTACTATTTATACATAACCGAATGTCGATTTCCATATTCTGAAAAACTGTTTTCTCTTACCTTTCTTAATTACAAAGTCTTACTGCTTTAAGCAATGATGGCTAGAAGTGGAATCCAAGACGCGAGTTTCGTCCTATTTGGGACTTGTCAGGTAGATGTACCTGCTTTTAGTGTTTGTAACTTAGGGGCAATATTGAGTCAATTCTCACAGGATGCATATATTACCAAAAAAGACTGATCGATTGCACATCTACACAACGATGAGGTGATCCAAGCAACCAATATATATTAAATCTTGCTATTTATTGTGTGCATACGAAAATATTTCGAGTGACACGGTTCAAGGCAGGTCGTAGTTGCACTCAGTCTATATGTGACTCGGGATCTTCACTTTAGCCTTTATCGACATTATTTGTTTCATTTGAACTCTGAACGCGTTAAGCTCTTCACTTCAGATGATATTATTTCCCATTCCAACTCACTAAATTTCCTCTCTTAGCGCTGTGTCAGATGCAGCCACTAGGACTAATTGAAATTTATGCTGATCTAATGTCCCTGTATATCACGTGACAATGATTTTTTAAGTAATCTGTTGTATTTGACTAATTGAAACCCAAAAACAATAAAGGTGTAGTCAGAGAAAACATAGACAGTAAGTAAACGGAACTACTCGGTATTTGCCGGTTGATATAGCAAAAAGTAAAAATTCGAAGCATGCGATTTTAAAAGTAAATCACAACCAAACAATTTAATCAGAAATAATGTTAAATAAGCACTTTTAGGTTTGAAATCAAGTTCTTGTAGTATTACTTCCTTGTAAGAAGTTTCAAGATCGATATGGCACGACTGGCGAAAACATGTTACAAAATCTTTCAGTTGGTAGATATATATTAATTTAATAGTTATGGTTTTCATTTGATAATCTGATTGATTTCTAATTATTGCATTACGCATAAAACTGATTTAAGTCAGTAATGTGTGTAGAGCCCCAGTTGAATATTCATTAGGTAAAATACATCCTCCAAATAGTGTACTATTCGTGGATGGAATACAGCTTACCAGCCTCGGTGACAAGTAAGTTCCGCTTGATTACCACGACACAAAACTTAAATTAAAACTTGCTAAGGTGAGTATATTGCTTCATGGAGTAAAACAACATGAATTCCTAGTTTTGATCACTAATCGTAAGTGCCTAATTAACAAACTATGCGACCTCATTTAAACAAACTTGGTGAGTCTTATTGCTTAGACGGTAAAATGACTTACTAAACAAATTAATCTCTACGCATAAGACAATCTTTGACTACATAATTGGTGGAAACTAATTTACCTTGAAGGTGGCCACTCACATATGGTAATGAATTGCTGTTATACCATGTTAACAAAGAACTTACGTCAAAACAATGGATTCCAACCCAATGGTTTAAAAATGTGTTCAACTTTGAACTCAAGGGCGACCCTTGCGAGGAATTCAAACTAGAACAAAAAAACTGCAGAATACTTTTTAGTGGCTATCTACATGACATCAGATATTGGCAACAACCATATTCAAAACAATGGATTTTATTAGCCATTAAACTGAATACAGTATAATTGAAATTAAAATACCCTGACTTTCAGCAGGAGCATTAGTTCCGTTTCCAAAAAATTTCTCAAAAGTTATATTTTAAACTAAGACAAGTAAAATGATAGAAACTTTGAGTTATTTCTAAAGGTTTTTTATCAAATGTTGACCGGAAAACAACTGCTGGCTGTGATTATCATCACTCACAACAGTGAATCACTGACCGATTTCACAGTTTGAGACTATGAAGGTTATAGTACTAGATCAACTGAATTTTTCAGAATTCAGATAATCATCTATGTTCCACAAGTTTACTCTACCAAATAAAATTTTAAGCGATGATATAGGTCCACACTATTGGCAAACAATATTTGTTGACAAGTTTTATCCAAATTAAATTTAATTGTTTGCCAGTAGTTAATTCATGAAGTAGTCAATTAAATTCATTCGCACAATCTACCGTTTCTTTGCCACAAAGAGCAGTATTCTTCCATAACAAAGTTTGTAGACTCAGCGAATACCACCAACTAATAGAGAGATATAGTGGAAATGATTGGCTATCTTTAACGAACAATTATCGTTAACTTTTTAGAGGGCTACAACGTCCAATATCGATCTTAGCTAGCAGAGTACTAACTAGAATTAACAAAGGTAAGTTTGATAAAAAACAAAGACGCACCAGAACTCCATATCTATTATACGGCTAACAGCCTATTCGAATGTAAGGCCGAAACTGTTTAATGAGACATGGAGAAAATAGAAGTTGTAGGTGTCATTACCAAGGTTTGATTTGATAATTTCGAATAAATTGAGCATTGGGTTGATTGTTATAAATAAAAATAATATATTTGTAATATCCCAATGAGTAGAAAATTGGATTTTCTGACGTTTCGTGGCTTAGTGTAAGTCACTTCTTCAGAGAATAAATAACCAAATTAAATTAATCCAAGTTTAAATAGTATAAATAGTATACTATTTAAACTTGGATTAATTTAATTTGGTTATTTATTCTCTGAAGAAGTGACTTACACTAAGCCACGAAACGTCAGAAAATCCAATTTTCTACTCATTGGGATATTACAAATATATTATTTTTATTTATAAAAATAGAAGTTGGTTTGATTCGATTACTGTAAAATTGATTTTTTGTAGTTTACATGAGATAAAGCTTGGCGTCTTAATTTTCTGGCAAATAATAGATACAAAGAGACTAAATTAGATCATTTGTAGTAAGAGTATCGCACAACAAAACGATTATACTTATATTACCATTTATTGGTATATAGTTGAGATAATGTGAAGAGTAATTTAGTGGGAAATAGGATGATTCCTCAGCTTAGTTTGCATAAGTAGAATCTGGCAGTTATTCTAAACTTATAATGAACATTTGCAAAGCTTCAAATATTCTGATCGTTTGAAAAAACCTGTCTTTATGAGGACACCTAGAACTATTCTCTTCAGAAAATAAAAAATTACAACTTTCATACATTGTATGTATTTTTTTTGTTGACAATAAAACATAACATTTAATGCCCGTTTATATTCGAATAATAAAACGGTGTGGTTGATGAAGAAACTGTAGCAAGTAAGTTTGATGTTATTAAGTAACTTTAAGATATATGAATTAGCTTAGTTACTGCTAATTTCAACATTCTCAGATAAGCATGGAACTCAGTTAAAGTTTGTAAGCAATGATTTATGTGGCTATTGTAATCAATTTTAATTAATTTGAAAGAAAAGGAGTAGAAGATTCGAATGGAAGATTTTATTGTATAGAATCTTAACATCAACAAAGAATAAAACTCACTTGAGGTGAGTCAGAACAACATCATGACAGTGAAAATTGTGTCGACTTATTTTCGTGGTTTGAAGATCATCGTCTCACAAAATTAGTTTATGGACTGTCGTACATGGAAATGAATTTAAGTTACTTATTTCTACGTTCTTTTTCTTAGTGACAGAAAATTGAGTTTACAAGCACTCATATTGCCTTAGGATACTTTCAACAATTAACAAATTTAATGAAACAAAAAACAGGATCGAATTTTGTTTTTATTGATCTCAGTATTACATTGACAGAAGTGGATTTATACGAGTGCATTTAAAAATAAAGTCCTCAAATAAAGAGTACTACGAGTCCATAATTATAATATTAACTTATCGAGCAGAACACTTGACTCCACTAATGACTTGTACATGGCGGCTATTACTTATCTAAATATGCGGAAATTACCCAGACAGTTGTCTTCAGGGTAGACGTGAAAAGGTGATATTTACAAAATAGTAAATTTTCAAACTCATTTGCCAGCTGGAAAATTATAAAGACCGAAAATAGCAAAAAGCAGTATGAAGAAAACAATTGCGATAGCTTAAGATCCTAAAATTATTTATAGACCGATTTTAGGACCGTTAACTCTGAACTATTAAGTAAATGAATAGAAAGAATCATTATATAACTTACTTTATCTTCCATATAGTTTTATTTTCGAAGAGCAGATAGAATCAAATACTTGTAAGCAAAGTATTGTGTAATCACTATAAAATAGGAACGACAGTATCATCGACGGTTTACTGTTTACTTGACCTAGCTAAATACCATCTGATAATATCTGATACTAGACTATAACGCTTCCTTCTTCGTTTCAAGTGTGCTCGAAGAACACTACTTATCAAAGCTATGGAGTCACACCAGTTGTATTCAAAAGTCTTCACAACGTGTGGGATTGACATAATAGGAAATTAAAGACATATGTAGTCAGTACGTATTTCGATGATAGCGGATATTAAGAATTTGCATCATTACGGAAGAGTATTGAACTCAATGAATGATTAGAAGTTCGGCATTCGGTAGGAACCATTATTGGAGTAAAGGTTGGTACTGTAAATAATAGACTAATTTGAACAAAAGCATACTTCACGCTTACTGTTCCAAAGCAGGGAACGAAATAAAAGGGAAATCGGCTATATTAACTAACAGAGTCAATATTAGCAGCAAAATCTTGATAATATAATTAAGAGCAAACTAGTTGAACTGTAACGGCTAGAATATTGAGTGAAAGGAATTCCAATACATCACATACCCCAGCACAAAATATTTTTTAACAAAAAAGAACAAGTTTTAAAGCGAATTATGTTGTTATTTTAGCCAGAGGTTGAAAATGATGAATTCTAATTAACAACACAGGATGACGCGGTACAATAATACAAACACTGAAAAAATCAACCCATTTTTAAATAGAAAGGAAATTATAGAGGTTTGTTTGTATCCTCTTTGCTTTTTTTCATTTTCCCAGCAAAGTTAATATGAGCAAAACGCTTTGTTTAAAAAATTAATTACAATAACATTTAGCAAAATATGTTCGAATGTAAATATGTTGGAAAAAAACTGAACTAATCTTACAGGACACAAATTTTACTCGTAAAAGTGCTAATAAAATGAAGATGGATTGGGATAACCATAAGATTGGGTATGAAGATTCAAATTATTCGGCTGATGCGGTCCAAATGATTGATAATTGTAATTGTCATAAGATGAACTCCCACCGGTTATTCTTTGAGATCTACCACGGACTCCCGGATTGAATATGAGGGGGTTAGCTTGAGAATATTTATACGCTTCAGCTACAGCACCGACTGGATGAACCTCCGTAGACATAAGATCTACAGGTTGTTGAGATTGCTGGTCAACGTTTTGACGTGCATAACTCTTAGGGTCAAGATATTGATATGAATCGCCTGAGGGAGCTTTACAACCTCGTTTTTTTCTTTTTCTCCTAGGCCAACCTGGATAAGCACTTTCTTCTGTGAACTCTTCATTTGAATCAAGAACTGGTTCATTTACTTCGAATTCGGAGTGATAAGCGCCTCTTTGAACTCCATGTTCTATGAAACCAGGACCCTTACGTGATTCGTCACTGGGATATTCACGCTGCTGGATCATGCTAGGTCTGGTATGCTGTCCATAAGGGACATGCTGACTAAAGTCATTGGAAATTAGCGGTCGACTTGGCCGAAAACTATTATCTTCATAGCTCCAACTGGTAGGCTGTTTCATGCAACTGGGTGAATATGCAGCAATCGCTAAAGAAGAATGAGGCTTTATATTGTTGCGAAAAGAGTTCTTAGATTGCATATTTTGTGTATCCATAGAGCTAAGCGACTTTTGCGTTGCAGTTTGAGGCACAGAGTTTGAAGGATATGACATTAACGTATCTATGGCTTTTTGTACAATAGGGTTAGTCAAGTTTTCAGCTAATTTACTTCCAATACTAGTAGCTGTTAAATCTTGAGTTTGATGAGCCGCGTCAACTGGTACATTGGAAGAAGCAGTGTTTGTAGTTACAGTAGAGCTAACAGGCTGAGGATAAAGCATGCTTAAAATTCTTGACTTGAGCTCAGCTGTATTTTCACTGCATGCACCGGCTAGTGGTCAATGTATATCATTCATTCATTTGTTTGTTTATAAAATAGGATATGAAGACCAATTGGATTAAAAGTAGTAGCGTGAACAATGACGTGATATATAATAATTCCACATTCACGCGATACATTTATTGTGAATCAATTAGAAAGGAAAAAAACCAGGAGAGAAAAAAGATATTAGTTATATTCTCAATAAAATATATGGGTGTGATAACAAGGATAGTATCAGAAGAATAAAAGAATTAGACGTTATTTAAAGAAACTCGTGAAGTCTAGCATACGAGAGCGAATGTATCCCTAAGCGTCAGTCAGTCTATCATAACACAAAAGGACTTATGCATGAATAGATTCACAGTCTTGTTCATAAACATAAAAAAGAGATGATAATTCGGGAACAGTCGAAAAAAACAAATATTTGTAAGTTTAACGATTATCATTTCAAATTTTTAAATTCACTACAAGCATCTACTTTTAGAAGCACGAACTCAGGTTACAATCACTCCAAAGGAAAGTCCTATTCACCACGAAAGTATTTTTGCGAAAGTGAAAGGATGAAAAATGGACATCCACGGTTCAAACTTAGTTGGTACATATAGAGGATTTACCTAGGGGAGTTGACAAACCATTGTTTAGAACCAATGGTGCGCATACGCTCCAAGATCGCGAGGAGATGAAAGACCCACAAACATATCTTTGATTCCCGGCTACCACGGGAGTGCGTTTTCCGACGTTTCTTCGCCGTCCTATGGATTAGTTCTGTTCTCTCTAGCCGGTACCGGTTGAGCCACCTGACGAGGTGGAGGCCCTCGAGAAAGTTCAAATCCTGAACCACCAAAAGTCACCAGGTCCACATGACTTACCCCCAGCTCTTTCTAACAATGGTAGCAACCTTCCGGTCAGAGAACTGACTAGGTTGTTTGAGAAACAATATATTCCATCATCTTGACGCGATTGTTGTTGTCATCTTTAGAAAGGGTCTATATCATCTATGCAACAACTATTGGGGGTAAAATCTACTTCCGATTACGTCCAAACTATTGACTGGTATATGTCGATCCATTAGGACTCTCTGGTTAGGGTCCGATAGATGATGTAACTCAGTGGCTTGAGACATTATCAGACATGGCTCAAAATAAAATCCAATGGCGATCTTGTTGTAAGGCTCTTTAACTATTAGAAGAGAGAACTTCCTTGACTGAAAGGATTCTTTCTGGTTCCATTTTTCTTAACTGAGCTCCTTTTTCTGTTATATACTGCTCTTGTTCACTTATGTATTTAGATTATACTTAGCCTCCGTCCTCCACCTCTTCGCAATCTTATTTTCTTTTTGTACGGGTATGTTTCAGTGAAATGGAGAATCCTGGTGGGCGGCCTATGCTCCTTCACGAGGGGTAACAGGCGTAACTAATGGCTATGTTTATTTTGACGCCCGTCTCCACCAATTTTCAATTGTTTAAATAAAACAAATAATAATCATCTTGTCTGAATCACCGTAATGTAAATGTGATATGGCTATTGACATAGACATCATAGTGACTACAATGTCAAGATAATTTTTATAAAACTTGTCTAATGATTTAGACTTTCATTTGTTTTGTTGTGAATAGCTTTAAATATTTTGGTGGAGTTTTGTTCTCTGAGCTGGATGGTTTGGTCGTGGAGCTTTCATCGTTCTTCTGAACGACATCATCAGCACAAACTTCAGTTAGAAGTGAAGTGTTCGAATTTCTCCATATGTGTTTCACAGCTTGTTCTGTGCACCTCGATGTTGATTGGTTCTTATTGACCTTAAATTTGTCATTGTTTACTTCTTTGTTTCGGTTGTGTCTCCCATTGTTTGATTTTCGTTCCTATATTTGTGCATCATTTTTCTAATTGGTTAGTAAATTGGATTGATTTCAATATGCACAAATATAGGAACAAAAATCAAACCAATGGGAGACACAACCAAAACAAAGAAGTAAACAATGATAAATTTAAGGTCAACAAGAACCAATCAACATCGAGGTGCACAGAACAAGCTGTGAAACACATATGGAGAAATTCGAACACTTCACTTCTAACTGAAGTTTGTGCTGATGATGTCGTTCAGAAGAACGATGGAAGCTCCACGACCAAACCATCCAGCTCAGAGAACAAAACTCCACCAAAATCATCCACCTGAACTACAAATCTTCACCATCTCAATAACTTTAAATATATATGAAAAGGGAAATAGTAGTTTGTAAATTACCAGATTTCCTATATAAGTTTACAATCAACAACCATTTCGGATCCCGTAAATTTACCATCAAAAATATAAATAAAATGCACACAAATAATCAACAATGGATTATCAAGGACTAGTAAGTTATTAAGTTAATGTGATATTAACGAAAACTGTATGAATAAACCTTAGAAAAAATTGCATTGCTGAAAATAAAACTCAGTTTCGTAAATAATAACAATTATTATCAGTTGAGAGTAGGATATTAAATCTGCCAGGAGCCCTTACAGATTTACTGTCGGTCTTAAGCCCGGGTGAGATGGGAGAATTAGGTGTAGGGCTACCAACCCCATATTGTAAAAATAATATTTACGAAGACAACGTCACCCAATAAAAAATCATTTGAACCATTTGGCCTCTGCCCTGACAGCTGAAAGATCTTCATACTGAAAAGTTATGACGCATCGTGGTGAAAGCCAAGATCCTTCAGAAGCCAAAACGCTACTATCTCTTCTGACAACCAGTGTAGGTACATGGAATGACCGGACAATGTGGAAGACTGGTAGGCTAACTGATACAGCCACAACAATGAAAAGACATAAACTTGAACTGCTTGGAGTAAGTGGAACTTATTGGAAACAATCTTGGCAAAAGATAAACTTTAAGAGAGCTGTTATTGTATTCTGGTCACGTAGAAAATTCCACACACACAAGGAGTTGCATTTATGCTGTCCAAAGAAGCACAGTGAATGTTATCTAGTGTTATGTACCAATCATTGATAACAGCGAAAAGCGATAAAGGTCAGTCTATTCTAGACAAATGTCCAGAAAAACACCTGACCACTTTGATTGAAACTGAAACTTAAGAAGCACTGGACAATTGGACAAGTATCACTACGGAGTTTAGTACACAGTTTTTTCGAGATGACAAGTTAGGCGAGTTCAATGAGGATATCAGCAATAAGTTCTAAGCCTTACAAGTTCACTAGGAGAAGAGGAAGTCGCCAAAAGGCAGGCTTCCACTCGAGAACAACTATATTTTCTCCATGAGTGTCTTCGCCAGCATGTTCTACCAACAAGTGTAAGATATAGACCTCCAATCAACTGCCCGTTAGGATGGAGAATTGCCGAACAAGGTGGAAGAAAAATGGTACACCTAATGATAACGGATGCACACTACAGGATCTACAAATACCAACACGTCATAGAAGACCAAAAGATAAAGCTACAAAGGATGCTCACATCAAAACATTTGGAAATCGTGACAACAGCCATCGAGATATCATGCAAACGACATAGAGAACAAAGAAGAAACACCTTAAAGAAAAAACTAATCAAGATCTCAAAACCACCCAGGGAAGAAAACACAAACAACTGCGTGATCAATCTGTCAAAACAACCACTAACAAATACGGAAGAACACCTGCTCCAAAAAGGATTAAACTACAATACAAGCGACGCTTCAAAGCTGCAGTTCTTCGCAGCACTAGAGTCATCACTCAAAACTTCCGGAATCAGTGAAGAAACACAACAGGAAATAAGGCAAACTTTAGTACCGATAACTCAACAGGTGAAAGAAAACAACCAACTGACTCCACAAGAACAAAAGGCCTTGAAAGAATTCAGAAATAGAAAAGATATTATCATAATACCAGCGGACAAGGGACGCACCACAGTAATCATGGACAAAGAAGAATACATCAACAAAGCCGAAGAACTACTCGGAGATAAGAGCACATACAAACTGATGGACACAAATCCCGTCAAAAAATTAGACAATCAAATCTCAAAGACTTTAAACAAGCTAATCAAAACAGGAGAAATAACAAAACAAGACCAATGGAGAATGAAATCCAGTGGACCAGTACTCCCTCGACTCTACGGTAGACCCAAAATACACAAACCAAACATTCCACTACGTCCAATAGTAGCACTCCCCGGAACGCCAACATACAATTTGTCAAAAGAAATTTCACGAATACTGAGACATCTAGTAGATTCAGGCAAACACTCCATCAAATCCCCAACACAATTCCTGGACCAAATTAAGGATATTCAAATCAACAACGACGAACTCATGATATCCTTCGACGTAACAGCACTGTTCACCTCAACTGAACCACAGCTAGCAAAAGAAACTATATCCCTGCTACTCAACAACGACACAAATCTCACCAAATACACGACGCTTCAAATTAAAAGTCTACTGGAACTCATCCATTTATGCCTAACAACATATTTTCAATTCAACAACAAAATCTACGAACAAACAAAAGGGACACCAATATCAGGACTGATCGCAGAAGCAGTGATGCAAAGACTAGAAGCCACGATATTACCAGTGATCAAGCCAAAAATTTGGATTCGCTACGTAGACGACACCTTTGTCATCGTCAAAAAGGATGAACTGGAAAACACATACAAACTGATCAACAACGTTTTCAACGACATCAAGTTTACAATGGAACAGGAGTCAAACAACCAACTAGCATTCTTGGATATATTGATCACTAGAACCGATACAGGAAAACTGGAAACTCAAGTATATAGGAAACCGACCCATACAGATCAAATCCTCAATTACAACAGCAACAACCCAAGAGCTCACAAAATCAACTGCGTACACACATTGTTCAAGAGGGCGAGGACACACTGCAACACACTGGCAGCACGAAAAAATGAAGAGAAATACCTGAAGGACATATTTCAAAAGAACGGCTACCCAATCAACTTCATCAAAAAGCACCAACGGCACACAGCATCAGAACCCAAACCAAGCACAAAAATCAACAAAAGGATCACCCTACCGTACATACAAGGAATATCAGAAACCGCAACGAGACTGCTGAAAACCTTCGGGATAGGTGTGGCACACAAACCAACAAAATCATTACAATCAATCCTATGCAAACCAAAAGATGAAATAACAAAGGAAAACAAATCAAACATCATCTACAAAATAAATTGTACCAACTGCGACAAACACTACATCGAACAAAGCGGACGCCCCCTCCACCTACGCCTACATGAACATCAATTAGCAGTCAAACGCCATGATATATCTTCACTTATATCAATACACGTGGATAACTACGGACATTCATTCGATTGGGAAAATGTAGTAATCTTAGACAGAGGAAACTCCAAAAACACCAGAGAATTTTTAGAAGCTTGGCACTCAGGTCAATCAGCAATCAACAAACATATTGAAATCAATCCAATTTATCAACCAATCAGGAAAATCATGCATAAATATAGGAACAAAAATCAAACCAATGGGAGACACAACCAAAACAAAGAAGTAAACAATGATAAATTTAAGGTCAACAAGAACCAATCAACATCGAGGTGCACAGAACAAGCTGTGAAACACATATGGAGAAATTCGAACACTTCACTTCTAACTGAAGTTTGTGCTGATGATGTCGTTCAGAAGAACGATGAAAGCTCCACGACCAAACCATCCAGCTCAGAAAACAAAACACCACCAAAAAGAGGAAGTCACACCAGAAAACAACTGGAAATGGACTAGGGAAGAAAAAACTTCAACATATCAGGTAGTGAGCCCAAGAAATGCCAGAAGAGCAAATTTCTGTGTACAGTCTGAGCATGATTAAAAAACAAGACAGTAGTCAACAATGATCGAACAACAGCAGAGAAATCCAAGGCACAGTCTGAATATACAGAAGCAAACAAACGAGTGAAGAGCATTTCTACAATTGGAATATGGAACTCACAACGATTGCCATCCAACACCAAAATCAAAATTTTCAACATTGACATTCAAACAACTCTGATGTATACAGCTGGAAATTGGAGAACTACTATGACCATCATTGTAAAGCTACAGGTATTTATAGACAGTTTTGTATGCAAAATACTCAGCATCCGCTGACTGGATACCATCAGCAATTTGTGGAAACCATCAAACTGCTGGTTCCTACAAATTGCGTCCTATCCAACTCCAGTATCATCTAACTGCATCGTGATGCAGAAAAAGTGGAAGGAGAATGAAGAACATATAGAGCCGGGAATTGGAAACAAACATCGAGACAATTAAGATCACCTGGTAAAAGGTGGATAGGGGAGCTTAGGATAGTTATTTGAGGACAACTGGTCGATGGCTTTGCACATGAAGTAATAGATAGCGTTTTGTCTTGACTTTATCAACATATAATAATTTAGGCAGTAAGTAATTAAATGTACCACTTAAGTATAAGGACCGCTGGTTTACAATAAATACCATGGATAGATTAGTAGACAATTAACTTTTTATTCACAACATTACTATAGTCACTGTGTAAATGGTTCAATGAAGTATGTAACTAGAAAAACACATGATCTAGGAATACGGAGGTGTCTGAATGTAATGTAAATCACAGTAAATAAATCAACCCCATTTATGTAAGCTTCAAATATTGCTGGTGAATTCATAAAAAACAAAAACCTCAGAAACTGATGTAAAATGTATTAATAAACAAATATTACTCTTGAAGCAACTACAAAACGTACCATCACTGTTGGCATTTCGTCGGCCTTCCAGACGACGCTTTCGCTCCTGGACAAAAACAGTGATCTCGTCTAACTCTCCAACACTTAGAACACGAGAATCAGCCAGCATATGAAGTAGGGAAGCTAAATGGCGACTAGGTGGCAAAAAATTGGCATCGTCTGGAGGAGCAGTATCAACCTCTTCTTTACTGCTTGTCGTATATGCAGAGTATTCTCGATGAAGTAGGATTAATGCATCATCCAAAGGCATATTACGATGCTCTGCTCCAGAAAGAAATGGAAAAGCACCAGGACTAATGAAAACAGATGAGTAATAATCACAGATTTTTCTCAGCAATATTATTGTTCTAAGAATAAGTATTATTGGGATGACATACCATTTATTATCAAATAACGTATCGAAGTAGGATATGCCATAATTAAGCTTATTTATGCATTTAAAAGAAACAGTATACTATCATTTAAGAGCTCTGGACGATAAATCAAAAGTGAACTCTACCGGTGTATTTCATCTCACAAATAGTTAAAATGAAAGTAACTTTACTATTCCTACAAGTCAATAACTGACTGAGCATATGCGTAAATCTTATTTAATTAGTTTAATTATATTCAGCTTCATTGAAAACCAAAATGACTTTTTGGAGAACTCGCAATGTTGAAAATTGATTAACCTTTTAAAATCGGAAATATTGATGATCAAAGCTACACAACTCAGACTGAATAAGTAGTAGAGTGAGTTCAACAAATGATTTACTTGAAATAACACAACATTGATATGTCCGGTACGTTGAACTTTTGACACAATAGCTTTCTGGACGACCTATAGACTTACAATCTTCGACACTTGAACCTCAAACAAAACTAGAAGGTGGAGGTATGAAAGAAGCTTTACTTTCAAGGTTAACTTAATTACAAAAAACAAGGGTAATTAGTAACCGGTAATTTCAGAGGCTTCTGAGAGGTATAATAATATTAGTAAAAGTCCAAATGTTTGTCCAATCAGATTAGGGAGGAATGTAATGAGCTGGTTTACGGGACTTTCCAAAAATGTTAACTAGCTAAAAGTAATACTGAGCATTTCACAACGCAGAAATTTTCCCGGAAAAGCATAGATACCTAACATACGGTAATAGGATAAAAATCCCAATGCAGTAATTATGGTGATTATAAGACGTGGTCACGTCATTCAATACTCCGATGTTCCTTTGAACCTCTAATTCATGAATAGTAAGAAAACTATGCATACTTATCCTAACTAGATACTTAGTAAGTTACCTTGTTGGGTTGGAGCGTAAAGAATGCGTAATGTGCACGAGTTGTGTGCCCAATTAGTCATAGTGCAAATGATCGCGAACGGAACACCATCCTTGGTAAGGTCAGCTAGGCATGGGCTAAGATGATCTACAGACAGTAGAACTACTATATGAGTAACAGAAGGACTTCCTGGTGTAGTTAGACTTTTAGTGACACGTTGTTCTATAATTTCAGCATATGGAACAAGATCATGCTGGACGGTTATTATTGCCACCATATAAGGTGGTGATTTGACGATAGGTTTTTCAGTTGATTTATCGGCAGGACCAAGAAGACTGGATCCATTTCTAAAAGTAAATTAACAAATAAAATCCCTAAATAAAATTCATTTCCAAAAATAAAAACTGAGACATCATTCAATACGGACTATTGATTTTAAGTCTAATTTGTTCATTTCATAAAGAAATGATTACTTGAGAGAAAATTCCAAAATATTCGAAAACCATGAACTAAGTTTCTCCATCTGGATGTTTATTCTTAATATTGATAAATGAAACGCGAAATCTTTACTACGACATGTGGTATCAGCATTGCCTGTCTACTCTGGGAACAATGTTGGATCTGCTAGGATAGCAAACAACTGCAAGGATTAATATGAGTTACCCGAACTGTTTTTGTAATGAATACGAATATTCATATCTACTTATTATTTATGGTGGTCAACGTTGTGTAACTAAGTGGGTATTAGACGTGCGAAATTATAGAATAAGCAATGTTGGGCATGAACAAGTTAGGGAGGCAAATCAGTCGATGAGGTTGTGAACACCTACTAATTCGAATATCATGATGTTGCACGTACTAACCAACTATCAGTGGAAGATGCAGTCTTCGGTATGACAAGATGAACTTATGGTTATCAGACATAAACCCGAAGTCACTGACTAATAATTGGAGTGACGTACACTTCCTGATTGTTTTGAGGACGATTATTGGAGATGAAGTTGCGGTGGAGCACAAATATTCACGTCACACTTTTTTATGAATTCTGAAAATATTTATTTGGAGTTTTGTTGGGATATTCAGGAAAATATCCCAAAAATTATCCTGTCAAGCCTAATGCTATTCTTGGACATGAAATGGTATAATCTTATTGGCCAATATTTATTTAACGTGTTATTTTCCTGTTGGCCATTGTTGTACAATATTATCTTCTATTTTATGGTACGTTGTGGACTGCTTGAATGGTATATAAACAAAGCATGTTTGTAATATAATGATTCATAAATCCGAGGCTGTGACTTGTGTTCTGGACTCAATTGGCTGGGCTATACAGGGAAGCGAGACCAATCAGAACCCTAGGTCGTTCTACGTGTTTGCGCGTCTTTGGTCCGATCAATAATTCGCTATCCCTTAAGCAGCATTTATTTATCTTCACAGTTATAACAATTGGCGACGGGGTGAAGAAAAAAATACAATCCAAAGTCATTCCGTAATTGGACGAAATCCAGTCTAATTATTCAACCAATCAGCATCCAGTGTCCTTGAACCATATTGGTCATTAGTCATACAGTAATTTTCATCACAGGTGCTGATTAAAAAAAATGACTCTCCCTTCCGATCGATTACAGCTGCTCTTTGAACGACATTTGGACTTATTAGTCAAATTCCGCACGCAGCTGCTAAATCACTCATGCTATGAAGACGCGACGGAAGTCGATGGATTGATATCTGAAATACACAGTGAGCTGGAAAATGACAGCAGCCTTCATGAATCCTCGATGAACTGTACTTCAAACGAAACAGTCATCCATCATGCGCCCAGTGGTCCAGTACTTTCTATTCCAGAAACATGCCCGGTAATGGAGTCAAACTCCATCAACCCCGAAACAGCATGCGCAGACAGTAACATATCCAGCTCACGAGAAGATCTCATTGTTTTGCCAGAAAATGTGTTTCACGCATCAAATAATAACCAAGATCCTGGTACAGTTTTGTTGGACGCCGATTATCATAATGATCCACTACTTACTAAAGATTTAAACCCTAATGACCTCAGATCTACTGTCGCTGATCCTCACCATCTAGTCAGTCCTAGTGGACTCTCTACTCAACGCAGGAAATATGCTTCAAATAGAGTCACACTAACTGTTCCTTGGGTATATGAGGACCCAACATTATTTCGAGGGGGAGGATAGACGCGAGAAAAATTTAAAATTCGGACATCAACTCCGGATCTCCAAAAAAGGGAGGTGTTGGGATATTCAGGAAAATATCCCAAAAATTATCCTGTCAAGCCTAATGCTATTCTTGGACATGAAATGGTATAATCTTATTGGCCAATATTTATTTAACGTGTTATTTTCCTGTTGGCCATTGTTGTACAATATTATCTTCTATTTTATGGTACGTTGTGGACTGCTTGAATGGTATATAAACAAAGCATGTTTGTAATATAATGATTCATAAATCCGAGGCTGTGACTTGTGTTCTGGACTCAATTGGCTGGGCTATACAGGGAAGCGAGACCAATCAGAACCCTAGGTCGTTCTACGTGTTTGCGCGTCTTTGGTCCGATCAATAATTCGCTATCCCATCTGCAGCTTTATTTTTCAGTTATAACAAGTTTTCATTTCTCGTTTTTATTCTCTTTTTAGCTCTTATTAATTCCGTTCCTACTATCACTTCTAGCGTATGATCTACATTGAGTATCCTGTGGCCAAAAGTTTTTTTTCTGTTGGTTCTAATGTTGTTTTTTTTTATCTAAATGATTGCCGATAATAAAGCCAAGATACCAAGTTCTAACATCACTTTCCCAACACAACTTTTTCACTAAACTCGTGGAATAAGATAGATGAGGTGATAAAACAACAATGTAGATAAATTAAGATCAATTAAACACATCTCACAGCTTTTTGTCTCGTTCAGCAACTTCTGATAGCCAGTTTAGTGGATGAACTGTACGCCGATCAGTACGCGTTGTGCTGTAATTGGAATAATCAGAACACCAACACAGTTGGCAAATAAAAATATAAGTTTAACCCCAGCAAATATTACAAACTATAAAACTCACTACCTTAATACTGAAGAAAGTAACTTACGCATTTATTGTTCACCTTTAACCAATCTCTAGATACGAGATTATTCATTACTTTTCTTTCCCTAGTTTCGTTTTTTAAGCTTTTTATATTTAGCTTTTAACAACTGTAAGTAGTATTATCTTTATTTATTTTCGTTTGCCCCTATCAACATTTTTTGAGTGACAAGGAACATGGTTATTTGAACCAGGTCTTAAATTCATCCGCCTGGTATCTAAACAACTTCAGGAAGATTGTACAGCTAGAAGCTTAGCAGCCTGAGGCTAGGTTTATTCTCTTCAGTGTACTTACTCCAGTTAAAAACAGTTGGGTATTCTTCAACGGCCCAAGCTAATTCTTAAAAAAATATATATTTATTCTATATTTCCGCTACGAAGTGAATCACTGAAATATTGATGCAATTGGTATTGTTGTTGCTATTTGACGGTCAGACTTAGCAGCTGTGTATCACAACAAACTATACACGGTACTGGATACAGAAGCACACGTGGATATCAGTATAGTGATACAAGGCATGTAGCCAATCCTCAAACTTTTCCTATATCTTTAAGGGAAGAACTTTTCAGCTCTACGAGACCATAATGTGAATAACACAACACATTACCTCAACGTGTTGAACTATGGTTCAATACAGACCGGTTACGTGACATTATTTTGCATTTTTCAAACCCCAAACACATGAAAACCATTCAATTTATTTGCTAGAACTTACCAGTATTTGGTGACCAACTCTTGAAAAGTTACGTTTAGTAGATTATTCATGGCAAAGATGGACAGGATTGGCAGAGGTTAATGCCGCTGATGATTAAAACAGGTTTGTATCAATTCCGATCACAATTTCTTATGAATTCTGAGGACATCGTAATAGTTGTTCATTCTTTACGTCTTAAGGCCTTTCTACTGACAGAATCAAATACTACTTTGAAGTCACAGAACAGCCAAGTGTGGGAGTCAGTTTTATGTGTTGTGCATCTGAGATCTAACTTCTATTTAGAATACAGTTATCTCGAAATTTACTGATATATGAACTGCCCTTAGAAATAGCTTCACTAACAACTTCCTCAAACGGCTCTCGATGGTGCCCTGTTTACCTACCTCATCCTCTTTGAAATCATGGGGCATCCTAATCGATTTCTCTCCCAGCTGTTATTGTTTTTCCGTCTGAATTACAGGTGAGAATATATTTATTTACTGGCCAATTGAAACGAAGTTGTTGACGTCCACGAACAGTTTCCGACATTTTAAAGTAATCCAAATGTTCATATGACAAGACAACAATGAGAAATACTCTTCAATCTAGGGAGAACTACCACGTTGCAAAACAGCATCCTTAATACATATTTCTATTATTAAAACAATAAAAAATTTCCAGAAGAATCTTCGATAGAACTCACTGTTAGTATGATAGCAAAAATATGACGATCCTTGAGAACGTAGCATAAGCAACATACTATCACTACTTGCATACGGAAATGTGGAGACAGTAGAACTCATCAGAAAAACTTACATTGGTGACCTTGAGTGTCGACGCGGTGAGATCTCACGTGAACGTTTGTTGTCCGGAGACTTAGTTCGACCTCGGAAACGGTCACGGCGCAAGGACCCACGACTTTTATCCCGGTCGCGATCACGACCAGAGATGGATCCGAAACTCCGTTGCAAATTTGTGGAAAACCGATCAATTGGTGGGCCTGCACGACGCAGCGCCTTTAAATCACCGGCTTCCACATGCTTTAGAGAGACTTTAGTGCCAAAGAGTGAAGCCCCATTTTCGCACTGAACAGCACCAGCGGCCTCGATATCCGAGTCGAACTGAACAAGCAAGCAGCGTGGATATATTACGATTTCTAGAACAAAAATGTACAGCCGGATGTGTGACAGGAACACGAAAAGGAGTATTATGATAAAAAAAGCTCATAGAGCATCCTTATGACAGGAAGAAAAAGTACGGTTAAGAAGGGAAAACCCGCCAGCAGGAGCAGCTACTAAACTACTTAGAATAAACAGGTCCTTATGGAGTAACCGGAGTCGTGACAGAATCTACGTGTCAAATAATACGAGACAACTCTCGGTTACTTATGGTAGCTCACTAAAATTGTCTAAAACTGGCAGATTATAAAGATATTGTGAAACTGTGACCATGGTCGTAATAATGACGCCAGAACCAGAAGTAACTAGTAATTGCATTTTACCCCAGTAATTATTTCAAGTGCGATGTTGCATTGGTTAACACTGATGGAACTGTATGATTTAGGTCCTTAACATAAACATTCAATCACTAACACAAACATTTCTATTTACGACCGTTTTATGATATTAGTATAAATAACCCGGTATAAGAGGTATGGTGATGAAGTTTAATCGATTGAGGTAGCTTTGTTACGTTAAGCCCCCAAATGCCCTGGTACGGCCGAGAGTGGGGAGAGTCCGCTCTCCCTTTCGAAATGCTCTCACATGGCCACGCTTATACAGCCTCTGCCAGGGAAGTCCTACTCATTGCCTTCTCGTGGCGGGGGCGTTGATTACGAAATTGAGAGGACGAAAAGCGAATGTCCGGCGCTTTAACCGGATTCCAAACCAATGGTGCACATGGGCTCCAGTATCCTGTGGGGACAAATGGCGTATGAACCAATTGTTGGTCACCGGCTTCCATGGGACTGCATCTCCTGACGATGCTCCACTGCCTTATGGGTCAGACCTTTAGGTCGAAGGCTCGGGGTGTGCCCCCCTAAGAAAACCACCTGCTTAGGTCTGGGAACCCGTGCAGTATCACAGCCCTCACACATATCGAATGAGATTTGTGTGGCGCATATGTATTTGGTGCCTCTTTGTACCAATATCTATGTGTTGAAATAAATTTTAAAAAATAAATGAATGTTACGTTAACCCAGCCACCACCCGCTTCATGAAGTAATGCTGATCGTCATAATAAGATAAAGAGAAAGAGGAGCCTGGACTAAGATTTAGAATAAGTCCAGGGAACTACAGAACTTAGTGTGAACAACCGCATATGTAGATTGATTGGAGGCCACACAACAACGACAAATGGTTGGAGGTGTGGAGTGATAAATCTTAGAACCAGTCAAATATATGCATCTCAATCGCTTGTTGAAAGTCAAGCAAATAAGCTTCGAACCATCCAGTGTCAAAAGCACTGTAAAATAGTACATACGTTCTGCTCGTTGTGTCGAAACTTATTTCAGCTATAAAATATGAAGTACATACGTGTGAAAATGAATGTAAGCTGATGTCCCAGAATCCGTCCAAGAAATACACGACGTTTGGCCCATAGAACACTATCAATTAAATCTATCTAACCAACAAAGTGTGTTTCAATTCCATAAGGCTATCTTCGTTACATGGGAATTAATGCTCTCACAAACATATTTAGCAATCACTGTATCTGAAATTATGAAGAATGACAGCTTCCAGACTACCTATCTAGCCCTTGTTTAAGTGTTAGCGACTGGTCGAACAACCATATAACGCAAGAAACATATATATAGATCACTAGACTGAATACCAAATCGCTCAGATCGGATTCACATACCTGAAATGCATCCATACTTTTTTAACCAATCACGTATGTCATTGTGAGAAATAGCTCGTTTGGGCAAATCTTCGATCAATACTTTGCCAACCAGACAACTACTCCCGGTGGGACTTTTGTCCCGCGTCCCCATAAGGCCCCAAATTAGATTAGGCGGGTTACGGATTAGGCACTGAGGTTATCCACCTTTTTTTCAATAACCAATAGAAATGCCGTCTCCGGAATTTCTAATATTTCAAGTGCAAATGGTGGATAGATGCTAGGTATGACTGTATGAATTTCACTGTAAGCTACACTTCAAACCCTGACCCTCACTTTATATGTTTTTCATCCTCCCTTCTCATGTGGTAGAATATCACATATTGCCATGTAATCTGTTATCCCAGTGTTTAGAAATGGTATTTGAGGGAAATATTCTTAATATGGCACACAACCTATCCCATACAATTGCGGTATCTGCCAGTATTTCGCGTCATATCTTCGACTATGTAGCAACACTTGTTCTATGTCGAATCAGTTAGAAATAAACTGAATAGGTTTTCCAGTGAAATTTAGGTACTTCCCTTGTTATTAAAGTCCTTAGAAGGTTTGAAAGATGTTTATAGTCTACTAAATCTGTTGCAAGCATAGTGAACGCAAAAACGCCACAGATATTCAGGGTTTGATAACGCTTTTGTCTCTAACACCGTTATAGTCAAAGGGTTTCAACAATGTAGGGCCAGCAAAATGTCACTAAACCCTAGCCAAATCATCCGGCAGTTGGGTCATTGAATATCGAGCAAATCACCGATCCTCGTCAAGGTCAGGGACAACCAACGCGCACCAGTTAATCGTATGCCATGGAATGGCCCATGCGGCAGTGGTCTTACTTTCGCTTGTATCTACTTTAACTAATATATTTCTGTAATAACGTCCTCTGTGTTGTACAGTCTTCAAAGCATCTATGGTACCTTGATACGTCAATGAGGTAGTCCACGTAAGGTCCTTACCACGAGGTGTGACTTCGACGTTAGCTAGTTTGTCACACCATTGACGTCTAACTCTAGTAGGCCTCCAATCATTTCGACATAGATCATCTACGTTGGTGATCTACAACCCAGTCAAATCAGAAGCAGGCAATAAAGGAACACAAAGATATATTTTGAAAATTGTCGGTATGTTGAGGAGCGTTTGATCTAAATGGGCCAGTAGACATAAGGGATGTAGCAGGTGAAACAGGATTCGTACTGTGTCCTAATGAATGAAATTGGAATACTGTAACCGCCAAGCTGACATTTTGGTTGGCTCGCTTTACGTCAGCACAGTAAAAGGAAACCCGTGGATTGAAACTAATAACAATAAAAATGCCGGGTGAATGACAGATTCTGAGGAAGCCTGTTACGAGACAACTGGAGACATTTTTCTGATTAAAACCTTTATATTGTATATTAATAATTTCACTGTTTTTTGGATGTATTTGTTTTACTCAACTTCTGAACTTGCTTGTTTATATCACTATTTTCGGACATTTTGGTTTCTTTTGTCTTTGGTTTGGCATTTGGGAGTTTTTGATCCGGGAACCTACAAAAATGAAGGGCATTTGGGTCGACTCTTTGTAAACTGAGAACAAAGTTTGGTACCTAAATTGGAGTTTGGTTCTATTGTTAACTTGGGTTCGTAATTTGCAAATAGATCGATACACCATACTTCAATAACGGGAGCGAGCGAAAAGTTGGATGTGACAAACCAATAAAATCATGAGTGGATATCACATTTATTTCTCTTTACATGATTAGTTGATCTCAACCTTTAAATATTTATCTACATTTTATATATGCACGTTATTGTGAAGAATTAAGGTGTTGTTTAAGTTATACCTTACTATACAACTTGGCGGTCCTCAGAATCAGTGAAGCACATTAAACCTATGCTGGACAGAAGACGTTAGATTCGGAAGAGATGCTACTGTACTCTGGTCATGAAGAAGAAAGTGCTCCGCAAATGCAGCGATTTGCTCTGATACTGTACGTGAAGCACTTATAGGATGGGAATCTCATGGATTCAGGATCATCAAAGCATACTTCAAAACAAAGAAGGAATGAATCACAATGTATGTTATCCAGTGTTGCGTACCCACCAATAATAGCAACGACGACGAGAGAGAGACTACAATCGATCATAGCGAAGTGCCTAAGAAAGGACCTGACCATCCTGATGGAAGACCTTAAAACCAAAGTCTGAGTGGACAACGCCGAGCATAGGGATATGATGAAATGTCATGGATTGGAAGAGAGAAGAAGAAGGTAAGAGATTTGAATATCTATATTCATTCAGCAAAACGGTTATAGGCAACACCTCACCTCCACAAAAGTATACACAGAGCAACATGGGTTTTACCTGACCATGTTTCAGAGAATCCGATAGATCAAATTTGCGTGAATAAAGTTTTCGGATGATCCATGTGAGACGGAATAACAAAGAAAGAAGCTGAAATAGCTTCAGCTCACCACCCTGTGGTCTTCAAGATGAGACTAGAGCTCATAAAGCATTTGACAACTGGAGGAACGGCATCACAAGATTTCATTGCAGCTTTCCATAGAGATTCTGACAAACCCAACAAATTTGAGATAGCTCTCAACAAAAGGTATCAAGCCTTGCAAAACCTATCATTTAAACCATGGATAGGATTCAGGAATGTAACAACACGAAAACAGAAATATACAACAGTCGAACAAGAGCAGAGGAAGTTAGGGCTCAGGTCAAATACACAAAAGCTAACAAATGCGTGAAGAGGAGCACATGAGGCAACAGGCAGAAGTACGTGGGAGACCAAGCGATAACACAGGAAAAAGCTGCGACAGAAGGAAATACGTGACAACTGTATGATACAGCAAAGAAACTAGCAGGAAAACATAGTAAACCAGAGCGAGGAGTCAAAACACAAAGAGCGCAATCCATTCACTGGAATCTAGGACAGCGGGATGAGAGGTTGTTAAATTTTGGGCAGTTCCTGAATAGAACAACCCCACAGAACACACCGAACGTCAAAGAAGAGCCCACAAACATCCTGTAAGATGTCGGTCCACCAACAACAGGAGAAATCAGCATGGTCGTTGGACACATCAAGTGTGGAAGGACAAGAGGACATCGTCATAGTGATTCTCTTCAGAGAGTTTCAGGAAGATGGACAAATGCCGACAGACTGTGAAGAAGTATGCCTCATTTAGATACCAAAGAAAAGAGATGTGAGCGAATGTGAGAACTACAGAGGTACAATAAAACGTTTTAAACAGATCTTTGCTGAATCCTTGACTACGAGAAGGCGTTTGACAATATGGATAAAAGAACCTCGTCGAACTGTTTTTGACACTGTGGTGTCACTCTTATACGGAATTTTAATAGCAAACTGCACTGCAAAGTCCTGCATAAAGGACAGCTGACATGCATTTCAAGTATGGACCAGCATCAGACAAGAATACTTACTCTCATCTTGTGGTTGACTGCACTACGAAGACATCTACATCTTCAAATGTTTGGTTCACATGGTTGTGGACGGAATAGAAGAAGCTTCTGCTTAACGGGCTTCCGTGTCTAGTAGCAGTGGATAACCAATATCTCCAAGCAGGAGCCCAAGTATATTTGTAGAATTATAGTCTACTATGATATTAGTACTGCGTTAATAATAGACCTAATCGCAAAATCGTAGATTTGTCACGGTATAACTGCCTAATCTTAAGATCTTAAGTGGAAGTCACACCATCGACTACACCAACTCACTGTATCGTATCAATTACCAATACATGATGTAAAACAAGGTTAACCTAGAGAAGGAACAATATATTTAATATGAATAGAAGATATAAGAGAACATTCAGAGGGACCACGTCTGCATGGCCGAGCCATGCCATCCGATCAACTCCAATTCATTCAACACATTCTTCCCGCCTTCTCCATCGTTAGGTATTTCTCCACGTTAAATATTGAATATCTGTTTTCCGAGTTGTCTCGTGTTCAGCTTTGAGGATTGTGTGGTAATGGTCCAATGCCACTACATATTAACGACAATCGAGGAAAAAAGAAATTGGTAAATTATAATAAGATGTTATCCTTAGACCTTATGAATAGGTCAAGTTTCCACTTAAAGGACTCCTGGGAAGTCGCTTGGATTAGTTCAGTCGACAGCGAATTCCAGCATTTGTTGTAACTCCGATTTCTGGGTGTTACCCCTTAGGTATGTGTTGGAACTAAGCTAAATTAGGTGTTTAAGGGGATATCCAGAAGTGTTAAGGATACTGTAAGCCATTATAAAGTCACCTCTAAGACGCCTATACTCTAATGGGTAAAGGTTGAGTGATTGGAGCCGCTCTTCATAAGGTTTGAATTTGAGTCCACGAACTGATTTCGTGTCTCGTCGTCGGATACGCTCCAAAGTGTCCTTATTTTTTTGGAGTGAGGGAGGAAATACTATTTTTCCGTACTCTAAATGTGGACAAATAAAGCTGTTGAGGATTATGTGGAAAGTTCTTCAGTCAAACTGGCCAAAAATGCGCCTCAATGTTATCAGTGCAAGGTTTGCTCGAAAGTCATTTCTGTCACAGTTAGCGTAGGACTTTAAATCCTAGGGTATTAGGACTACTAAAATTTGTTCGACTCGTGATACCACTTGAAAGGGGTTTTTTAAGTTGTAACTGTAGTCTGCAACATGTCGCAGATGGACTACTTTACACTTAGAAGTGTTAAAGGTAAGTCCGTTATCGTCTGTCCAACTTTGAAGTCGAGTCAGATCCTCCTGAAGTGCCAGTATATCCTCTTAGTGGCGTATCTCTCTCCAAAGTTTCACGTCATCGGTAAAAAGTAATAAGTCCGACGACACCTGTTGTGGAAGATCATTTATAAAAATCAAGAAGAGGAGAGGTCATAGTACTGAGCCCTTGAGGACCCCACTAGGACATTCCATAGCCTGAGATAAAGTGAAGTTGACCCTGACCTTAAAGTGTCGATTTTCCAGATATGAAAAGAGCCGATCAATTAGAGGTGGTCAGATAGCCAATCGTTTGAGCTTATTGATAAGACATATATGGTTGACCCTATCAGGAGCTCTTGAGAAATCAAGGTAAATGATATCGACCTTCCCCTTGCGATCAAGGATGCTTGTCCATTGCAATAAAACTACAACCAGGTTAAGAAGTCTCCTTGATGATTT